TTCTAATCACTCTTCAAGGGAACACGTATACAATCTTTGAACTTTCTTCTTTAGAGTGAGTGCTCGAAAGCATCGCGAATTCTGATCGCCCACATCGAACGAAGCCTCGTGCTGTGAATTTTGCAATCGCTATCACATTATCATTGTGTACCTCGTACCATTGTGTTTCTCGCAGCGTGTAGGCCGAGGTATATCGGCTGCGTTACACAAGTTATGCATCGTGGTAATTGCGCGTAACTCGACTTATGTGCAAGGACAGGGCGCGCCTCATAATACGTGCCATACGCGCGTATATCCAACACATCGCATAGACTTGAGAAAAGAATGAACGAGATGCACTTTGATTCGGGAAATGAGAGAAGGATGTGAGACGTGATACTCACGTTTCGCATGTATGCATAATTAAACACATTGCACTTGACAGTGCAATGTGCGCATTTTTAACTTTTGACTTGATTAACAACATTTTTTTGTATAATTATTTTATTATTGTGATTAAAGTCACATAATTAAAGTTAAAAAGGTTAAAAAATATTTATTATTTGTTTTGTATTATTTGCTTCACTAGCGGTAGATACATGAATCATATTTTTGCGTATTCATCTCTGATAAAGCAAATAATAGAAAACTGATGATGCATTTCGATTTTAATCTCTGAATCAGAGGATATTGAGAATTTCATCGATAAAACTGCATTTACTATAAGTCAATATACACATAGGCGTGCAAGGAAAAGTGTTATTTCGAAATTCGTGAATAATTAGTATTTTTTTACTTATTACAACTTCCGCCGTTCTATTTCCAGAAGCAAAAGGCTGGAGTATCGTTTGCGAATTGTGCAATATCGCGCTGCTACGTGGACCTGAAGTAATAACTCCGTTCCGGCAAATCCGTATTTTCAAAACATGTTCAAGATTTGCATAAATCATAAAGTTAATCGATGTAAATCTTCTTTTTAGTTTTCGTTAAAATAACATAAATTTATTCATAAAGATAATAAAGCATCTACGTGTAGTATATTTAATCGAAATTAATAGATATACAATGATATAATAAATAAATCTATAATCAATTATCACTTGCATCACAAAAACGAACTGACAATTATTTTTCTAGACTTCTACTTTAATCTTTGGAATTATGTACACATCTTATCTTTATTACACATTAAATGAAACACCTTAGATATCGATAACAGAGAGAAGAAGCAGATACTAAATGCTCAAAGAGAATTGCGCGGTTATTAATTTTTTTTATTTACGTTTAACATTTTATAACGTAACTTTATCTGAAGTGTGCAAATAATTTCAAGATTTTATTTATATTGCGATAAACAAATATTGCACATTTATAATAACAAAATACCAATAAAGTTACCATAAAGTAGAGTTAAAAAAAAAAAACTATTCGAATCTGTTTATATTTTTCTCTATGATTTATTAAATTATATATTTTATATCATATACACACATTTCATATTCTTAAGAGGCATTTGAATGTTCTCTTTGCACTCGTTTTGATATGAAACGATAAATCTACTAAATGTGTTTGCTGCAAATTGATGTATAGACACATTCACGGTAGCAACCGACATATGTTGACGATTATCCCATTCTGCAATTTTAATGAGCAGGCGGCTAGTATGAATGTAGAGGATGACGAATCAAATGCGTGTACTGCCAGCAATCTTCTTGCGGTTGAATGTAATTCTTACATCGTATCTTCATTATCTTAAGGCGGTTTCTAACAGTTTAACACATTACGTAAGGTTAATAAATGTGTTGTGACATTTATGGACATTTTCTATATCTAAATAACACACTTTATTATTCGAGAAATATATTTTTATTTGGTTTCATTTTTGATATTTATTTTTATTGGTAATTATTTTTCATAGGATCATTTACGCAATGACATTCTTCTTTATATACCATGCACATATATGCGCATGTAGACACATTGTATGTAATTTTAATTATGATTGAATTCAATAATGATTGAAATAACAAATGAATGTGTCAAGTGTCCGTCGTAATAAAGAGGATAAATATATGTAACCGGTGACTATTTAGTATAATAATTATATACTATAGGCGAATGGGTGTTTGAAATTTCTTCTTGACGCCGACGGATGTTACCTCAACATCCTCGGCCTCGCATATTGGTGTACTTTCGCAATTGGTATACTTTCAATGCAACTGATTGTGAGCGCATCTTTATGCGTTTTCCTGCCGTGGCAGATAAAGGTATCGTTGTAGATATACATATACGATATATAATGCAATTTCCTCTTTTTCCTCGATTTGTGTGCGTTACTTTTTCCTCATAGTTCTAGCGCGTTAATATACTCATAATAATAACGTTAATATATAATATATATAGAAATAAATTCTTTATTTCGACGAATTAACAAAGTCAATTGTATATTACATATTGTTTTGATTTTATTAATTTTATATTAGTGTGTCGATTATTAGATTATCAAAAATTTGAAAAATATTAACAAAAGATAATATGAAATTAAATTCCTTTCTTTGAAAAGCAATATCAATGAAAGTCACGCAATGTTATAGCATATCAAGTAAATCAGGATTATAATCAGTTGTTGCACCTTTAATTTTCTCTTCCGACTGAGTGAAGTAACGTCTGACGGCTTTCACAAATTGAAATTTCTGTGCAGGAACGCATCTTATTTCTACGCGTTCTTTACTTTAGTACGTATTATGTCTATAGCCACCCATGTATACTTAGCGACGCGACAGTCACTTAAGCCGGCCGTTCTTAAAAGGTCAACATTGATCACTGTCCATAAACGTGCTGTCGCTGAGGACTTGAAAATACGCGAGTAAGGCGTCTATGGCTTATTAGAGAAATAATAAATGAAAATAATATCAATGAAAGACACGTGAATATTATAACACATTAAATAACAATACGCGTGCGCACGAGGAAATATAAAGAAAGAACACACTTACGTAATAATAATATAATATAATATTAAGTAAACTAATTAAAATTGACTGTGTTATAAAATTGCGTGCATAACATTAGAGATGCAAATGTTACAGATTACTTCAAAATATAATTTGCATTGTCGATATAAGTTGATATAACACTTGTATGTAATCCATTTTATTTATTTTAATATATTTTTTAATTTAAAATAATAATAGCCGAAAAGTGTGTGTGTATATGTATTCATGATTGTTGCATATAAGGATATTTAGAGAAAACTCATAACAACATTTTATGGTACATTATTTAATTCAACAATTGTATTTAAATTTGCGATAATGCTATCGCAAGTACCCGCTGCAATTGTATATAAAAATTCGCAAAATCTAACTCACGGATTTCTTGACTAGGATTTCTTGGTCATGACATTAAGAAGTGAAAGTGAAATCCTTTTTCCGCTTTTGCAATTTTCTAGACTTTCAGATAATCTCAGATAATTCATTACTGAAATTTCGAAACTTTATAACCGGGGAAACAGCGGTGTTTGATCAATATCGAGGACCGCAGTTCCGCAGTTAGACGTGTTCTCAACGTAGTTAGTACACAATATTACGAACCACAAAAATAATGTCGAGGAATGGGATTAAGTATCGATCAAGTTGGACGTTGCACGACGAAAATATCGAGAATGTGGAGCGCGTGAGCCTCACTGCTGAAGCTCAGCGAGAACTGGGTTGCGCGGTTGGTGAGCACGTGTTCCTGGAATATCCTTGGGCTTATGTGTCACGAGAGACTGTTTCGAGACTTGCCAATACAGCGGGCTCGTCGCTGGAGCTACACCGAGACAAAATCGAGATTTATGGCGGCGATACTTTTCTCGTAGGCTATTCGTCCACTCAGTTGAGCGGTTGTGATTTTGTTATCTGCTTGACGGAGGATGCAAGGTCAGTGATAACGAAGAGAAATGCCGACATTAGCAAGGGAATCCGGAGCGAAGTCATGCGGAAGATCAGAAAGACCGGTGGATCCTGGAAAACTCTAGCGAGTGAGACGGTGTTAGATGAGACGGTGTCGGCCTCTGTCAGGTGCACAAGAGAATTGTTTGAAGTAGAAGTGAGCTTTCCGCTTAAGTCTCTGGGCTTAAATCGGAAGCTTTGCGACAGGCTGTCGGGAGACTCTTCGGATAGTTATGTGGAATTAATTCCTTACGAGAGATTCGAAAATATCCAGAGGAGATGCATTTCCCGAACGATTCAGACGCACTTGGAGCCGCGAGAAATTCAAGTGCAAACCTATCCCGGATATCCTAAAAACGCCTGGACGCAATACATGTACAACGATATTCTACCGTCGGAAGCTGATGACGACGAATTGAGAGAAGAGGAAACGGAGAGCGAAGAGAAAAGAGAGACCGAAGAATCCAAAGATGCGTCCGAGGTCGACGCAGAAGAGAAACCGATAGAGAAGAGCTCCTTGGAGCTTTTTTTGGAAGCTCGCGCGCAGGAGATGATCGACGCTGTGTGTTACAATACGGTCGTGAACGTTTATGTAGATGATATCGAGACGCTTGCACGGCGAGAATTAGAAGTTAGTCAGCAGCGAAGTGAGATCACTTTTGTGGAGCGATACTCTCTCATTAATTTACGCTTCACCACAGGTAAAGTTATCGCGGATGTTTCCTGGCATCCGAGTCTTGTTGATTACGTGGCTGTATCTTATGTTGCCATACCGTCGTGCGAAACATCCAGTCCATCCTCGCCGAGTGTTGAGGATGGCGCAGCTGCATCGAAAACAGAGTCGACGGTTTTATTATGGTCCCTCGCTGATTCCCTTCGGCCCCAGCTCTTATTACGCTGTCACCAGGACATTTACTGTATTTCTTTTTGTCCGACGAACAGTGACTTCGTAATCGGCGGTTCCGTATCCGGCCAAGTAGTTGTTTGGAACATTCACGGCCGAATAGCCGATCGCAATATTGACGAAGTGGAGATAAATTTTGCGATTCGAGATATCGTGTCGGAAGTATCTGCATCTATGATATCTGATCTGAATCATTTGCATCAACTGCCGATTCGCAGAATACAATGGCTTCCCGATAACTACAGGATTGAGCCATCTGGAAAACTGACGAAATTGTCGTCTCATTCGAGTTATCAGTTTGTGACGATTTCCGATGACGGCATCGTCGCCATCTGGGATCTTCTGAAATATTCCATTACTTCTCAGCTGAAGCCGGGCTCCGGCCAGGATTTTGACGATATCTTTCGACCGACATATCGCTTGAACTTACGAACTTCCACGGATTCGTCTTTCACGCCTCTTTGTCTATGCCTTCCGCCGGACAGCGTTTTTCAAACAGATGACAAGGCCGTAATCAGTTAGATTCCATGGACGTAGACGACGCGAAGAGATTATGGATCGGTATGGCACAGGGACAGTTCGTTTGCTGCACCTGGGAGGGCCAGGATACGGAAACGACTGACTTAGAGGAGTGCAAGTTCCTTGGCTGCATTTCCGCGCACGACGGTCCCGTTGTAGCAATTCTCCGATCGCCGCATGTTCCGGACATTCTTCTGACGATAGGCGGTCACGTCTTCGCCATTTGGAAAGATGATTTCTTAGACCTTCCCCTGTTTAGGCGAAAATCTGATAACATATACACCGCGTGTTGCTGGGGCAATCGACCAGGAACCTTTTTGATGGGAACTAACCAGGGCGATTTGGAGATTTGGGATATTAAAAGAAGAGCAAATGAGCCGATACGCACACAAACTATCTTCAGACAGCCAATAACTGTTTTATCACCTCAAGAATCGTGTAAACATGGCTTTAAGCTAATCGGTGTCGGCGATTGCAACAGTATCTTCCGTATTTTCAAGGAATCGACGGAATTTGAGGATAATATACTTGAGAGAATGGATTGGTTCGAGGAATTTGTATGGAGAGAGATAAGAAGAAAGAAGATGTTTTTCTCGTGGCAGAAAGATTTTCTCCAAAACGACCCGACAATCGTTGCTAAAAGGCAAGCAAGAGCAAAAGAAGAACGCAGATTGAAGCTTGAAACAGCAAGATTAAAACTTCACAAAGAACACGAAGAACGACTGAGGTTGGAGGCTGAAGAAAAAGAACGGAAAGCACCAAAATCCAAAGATACTATGTGGAAGCTACGCCAGCAAGAAAGAATGAAGAAGATTCTCTTAGAAAAAAAGAAATTCGCGCCACGAGAACTGGAGGAGAAAAGACAGCCGCTAGTTCGCTTGGCTGAAGAGAGGAATCAAAAAATGACTAAAGCGAAGAATCAAGTTTCGCTTTGCGACCAGCATTTTCATAAAATTGTATCTCGCAAATTTCCTGAATTTCATGATTTGGCAGAAAAAGACAAGAGCTTGGAACAGAAACATGAAATAGTACAGGATGAAGAGGCAATAAGTGCATTATTGCAAGAATTTTATAAAATTAGGGACGAAGTGCGAAAGACAGTAGCGGAGAAGTCATATGTTCCAAAATTTGATTGGAACACTTGCATGAAGGAAGATAAGGAAAGACTACAAAACACGAAGCATTCACAGAAGCAAGTTCAAAGCTAAGAAGACTTTCGCGAGAAGTGTCAAAGCGTTCCTCATTTATTTTACAATCGTACAATTTTACATCGTAAACATGTATATGTTGATAAAATAATTTTTAACAAGTGTTACAAAATTTTTTTTTATAACAAACTGCACATAATTACAATAGACAAAAATTCTGATTAACGTTGACTTTTAAAAAATATAAAAATATAAGAACACTACCTAGGTAGAAATTTTCCTCGATCTTCCCTGAATATATATGGGCCCTATATGGGAAATATTAGCTTCGAAAATTCTGACGGGTCCTGGCTTTTCGCTGTAAATTCTTCAAGATTTTTTCCAGGTTTTTTATTAAAAAATATCTATTTGTATTTTTTCTGGATCTGGCCGGGTTCGATCAGGGAAAAACCAGTATTTTTATTCTGAACTTTCAGATTGTTCTAACGGGGTCCCTAGGGGTGAGATTCCAGGATAATTTCTAAGAAAAATTGTGGAAACAAGCTTGGACCTGAATACATTTTAGACAAAGGATGTCCGTCTATGCTCGCCGTTTTCCATTACACATGAGTTCAAGCTAAATTTTCCGGACAGATCCAAGCTATATTCGGGGAAAAATATTCAGGGCCAGACTTTCTTCTAGACCAAATTTCTACCTGGGTATATAAAAGTAGCAAAGAGAGCACGAATGAATGAATTTATACGCGAGAAATCCTGAAATCTCGATCTTCGAAAAGATTACTAAATTTCGAGAAATTCGAATATCATTAATTCAATGTATATGTCAGTCTTTGTAATTGAAATAAAAAATTGTTTTTTGCACTTTGATTGTCAATACTTGTTTTCCCTCTTTAAATTGTCTTGTAATAAGTACGCATATCAAAGGTATTTGATGTTTTTTCCAGGGTCTGGGCATAATATGTATGGCTTGTGCATCTCCAGCATTTATAGGTGCAACGCACTGGTTTTTGTTCGTTGCAGTAACGGCCTTTATAAGCACCCTTATATGGAGCGCTATTTACTTTTTGTCTCTCCGAGAGGTACTTAAGGTGCCCATCAATTTGGATTTTAAGTGTAAGTATGCACAGAAGACATTTTAAAAAGATCCTAAAACAAAACACGCGTCTTTTTAAGCTTGTTTGCTTAATTATGCTATAATTATGTATAATTAAAGTTTTTTTGATTAAAAAATCTTAACTTTACATTTTATTTATTTAAATTATCGTAAGAAAATGTTTGATTTGTGAGAGATTTTTGAGAATTAATGCATTTTTGGAAGACGCGTAATTTTATCAATAATGTATCTTAATCTTTTCGTAAAAGAGTTATTACTATTTAATAATGTAATGTTATTTTTTTATTTTTTCCTAATAAAATTAATTTAATGTATGCGTATGTATATTTTAGGAACTTCTAAACACGTTTGTGAAAGCCGTGCTTTATATGATTGCATTCATCGCCAGCTATCGGCTTGGAGTGCATTGAGAAGTACGGTGGCAGCTTCGAATATTGCTGCTGGGGTAAAAGACGATTTATATAAACTTCTTTAACTAAAATATTTTGTATAAATATAAAAATGCTTTTTACTCAACAAAATAAACTTACTTTCTCTTGTAAAATAAGCTAGAGATTGTGCTGATCTAAAATTTCGATTTTAAATAAATATTCCAAGCATTCTTTTATAATTACTTACGTTCAACTTTCAAGATATATAAAAAGAAATGAGTAAATGTGATTATTTTTAAAGCACAATACTGTTTGCAGGTATTTGGAATATTCAATACCATCGCATATGCCGCCGGGACTTACTTCCTATACATCGAATGGAAGAGCACTAATACGCAGTAAGCATTGTCAACCTATAGAGGAGAAGCCAGGTACCTGAAGAGCATGCAACAACAATTGCCGTGGTCAGACTCTCAGCGTCCGTCCAAAAGGATTTTGGTATCCCAAAACCATATGCTCGATAGAAAAGTCACGCTGAGAGTGACGGTTTGTTGAAACTAGTCCGGCATAATTCTCCTCAGATTGTATGTAACTTAAAGAAAGACTCTATACCTACGTGCCTTAAGATTAGTTATTTGTCGCGATCATTGTCGTTAGAGCTAAACCCGCTGCCACTGCGAGAAAGATTGATGATCTGCAAGAGCGAACAAAGTACTGCATTTGGAATATTGCAATGTCCTAAGACAATAATGTTATTTTATACTCACCAAGTCTGCGCGGGATCATTGAGCCTGTGTCTTTGTAATAAAAAAAAAAAACCATAAAATAGAATTAACTGAACAAAGAAATTGATTGACTTATTTTAAAATTATTTTAAAAACATTTTTTTACACGGCAGTTGTAATAATCTTATGGCATGGTTATTTGAAGATTATATATTTAACAGGTTTGTTAATAATGGAATATACATCAATATTATAATATACAATGTTAAATAAGATAATGCGAACATGAAATTATATTTTGCGCAATAAACAGGAAATACATTCGTTATTTCATTTCTTACAAATATTATACTGTACTTTTGTTTTTATTAATTTACTGCAGATTTGTGTGCAGAAATCTTCATTATTGATTCATATTATATAAAAAGACGCAGTATGCGTCTCTATGCAGTATCTAATACACGCGTGGATATATTCTAATTTGATTAAATCATGTATGACACTACGATGTCATTTCATATGCTGCTGCTACTTCAATTGTATAATTCTTTACAGAGAACGATAAGTAATATTTTAAGAAACTTTATATGATAGTGTACGATGAGTTTTTATAGGGATATCGGTCAGGAATGATTTTTAATCAATACAAATTGTCAATAATGTTTAGTGTGTTGATTTAAAGTTATTTCAGCGATTAAGTTCATATTGGACGATTATCTTCGCTGGCAATTTCCATCAATTCGCACACTTTTGACGATCCTAACGTATTAACTTCTCGTGCACCTGATACATATGCGTGAAACATTTATTTTCTAACTGAAGTGTTATGCAATCTCGTAAAATTTTATTTTTATGTATACACATATATATTTTTTCCTATACATAATATATAAATATTATAATATATAATGATATATATTTATATATACACATGGGTGTGTGTGTGTGTGTGTGTGTGTTTATATACTATACATACACTCCCGTAATCTCTAAATAAGATGCAGTATAATTTTTTTTTATGTTCTCCCTCATTCGCATGTAAATCGTACAATATTTGGAATACATTAGGGGAGAATTTATCCCGACAGAATCGGTTGTGAATATACATTACATCGATCGTTTCTTAGATATCTTACACAGAGTCAAGAGTTGCACGCTTTTACTTATCTTTCAAGAATATTTACAATCTCATATCCTTTACTTGATAAAAGGTCGCGTGACATTACAGTAATGACACGATTAACTGAAGCTAAAGGTAGATGTTATATTAATAATTAAGATTACGCTACTTTTTTTTATCATAAGCATTGAGAGAACATATCTGCTTTGCGGCGTTTGATCACTTCTTTGCTTATCTTTCCATTCATTTATTATTTGAAACAGGGTAAAAAAACCACATTGTGATGCATTTTCCTTCCAAAAATTCTCTATTTCAACATTGTTACTTTTTATGTATAGCACTATTTATCTCGTATTTTAATTATGCGTATAGTGATATACATATACAATCATATATATATATATGCGTTGGAACATTTTTTAATTTTGAAAGTTTATTTATTTTTAAGCTATCGATGGTAAATAAAGTAAATTTAAAAATTATTAAGTGTATAGTCATGTTTTAACATGTGTGTTTAAACATTTTATCCTTGTTTTCATACGTTCAATTTTTCTTTTAGATGATTTTCATATGTTTGCTACATTTTCATATTTTTTCATATTTTTTTCATATTTATACAAGTTATTTATTCACATACGTTTAAAAAATTACGTACGTATGTGCATGCAAGACGCAAATTGATATATTTCGGTATTATACTATGTGATATCGATGCTCGATGCTTAATAATAAGTGTTTGTTTTTTATTATTTTATATTATTTTATTTAATTATCATTATTACTTTTCATTGAAGATACAATTTTCTATATATTTATTTGTGTTGCTTTTTTGCGTAACTAATCGCGATATATTTAGTATATATATGTACGATTTTAGTATACATGAGCGTGCACACGCACCATCTTAAGAAGTGTGCGGGTGGGATGATATCATCAGTGATGTCATCCTGGTATCGCGCTCAAAGCGCAGCGTTTCAGTCAATCGCTGACATTCCGATAGACAACAACGTTTCCTCTTTGAGGTTAGTATAATCATTTTTTTGTATAATTATTTTTTATCATATTTCTTTCGTAGTCATTTATCTTCAGCAAAGGTCATTTGATTATAAATTAACTATACGTTATATTGCTGTAAGTAATTTTATTTCATTAAAATAACCTAAATTTTGCTGGTTAAGTAATTTTAAATATTAATAATCAATGCAATGTCTGAAGATTATAATAATCAGCTAGGTGATTGTGGAATACTCTTACAAAAATATATCGGAACATTGTTATGTCGTAATGAGATTTTTTTTATATTATTCAAAAAGTTAAGCGTCTTAGTGTCTCAGTCACTATATTTTTGAAATCGTAGAATAAAAAGAACTGACATATTTTGTGCGATAAACATATCTATTATAGTTAGAGAAAGACAGAGAAATTGCGGTTTTATATAATTTCATATTCTTCTAAAATCTCAATTCGCGCAAAATTAATGGCAAAAAGTGAGAATTAGAATAAATTGATAATTTGTATATATAAATACAGGCAAAGGATATTGTGTTGGAACAGTATAATATAATTAGCGGCGATCTTGTAAAAAATAATTTCTGCAATTTCTACGTAAGCGAGTGAACATTGAACGAAGATTTAGTGATAGATGCGATTCAAAGTCTTCATCGAAGTCGTTTCGATAAATTTTTAACTCGTATCTAACGTGTCCGTGTCCGAGATATTTAAAAATAACTCGTGACGATGGCAAGAGCGGTGTTTGCTTGTTCGTAGTAGCACGCTTTCTATCAGTTTCCAGAATGCTAAATTTTGGCACCATTAACTTCAACATTTTTTGACATCATAGGCTAAATCTAATTAAAATTGTATGAGTTATACTTTTCTTTTTGTAGGATATTTTTTCATAACTATTCTACATACATATTATATGTCATTATTGTTCATTTAGAATCTTATCTAGAAAAGTGTGTTATCGCGTTATTATCCTTATTATTTTGCACAATCATAAGCAGGACATTTTATATTTATGTATTTTGTATGAAATTTATTACTAAATATTTGTGATAAATTACTGTCGATAGAACAGTATGCAAAATGTTTAATCTGATATAGTTGTTATCGCTATCAATCCTTTCTTTATCGGAGCTTTATCAATATGACATTGATAGAAATCCGTTCATAGTAATTGAAGTCTTAAAAATATATTATATTTAATTAATTTCGAGAAATTTCAGAATGTAGAATTATATCGTGATTATAAAGCATACCAAATTTTTAATGGCATTTATTGGATTGTACTACTTTTGTTAATCGACTTCGTTAACATTAAACATCAAACAAATCAAATGGAATTTAATGAGATTTTTGTTACAAAATTAGCGCACAGAAGAAAAGTATTTTCTTTAGTATTATGGTACTTATGGCTTGACATAGCAATGAGAGAAAGTAATGCGTGAAGGTTACGCACTATTGATCGCAAACGTGTTTAAAGGGTGTGCCAGAGGCAGAGGATATTTCGTAAATAAAATGTACGATTTTGTATATCTCTGTGTTGTTTGTTCATTATGCGATCGTTGCACACAGATTAATATTGAATCACTGATTGTTCACGTAAAAATTATTGAAAAAAATTATCTAATTATATTTCACAAATCTTAGTAGATTCATGAATTGCTTATACAATCATTAAAGTAAATTTGAAACTTTGGAAAGTAGATATACGAATGTGGAATTGTGGAAAATTATGTTGTTACTTTTTTTTTGCAAAAAGAAGCAAGACTTCGTTTGATATCTTCGCACGTCTCAATATCTTGACCCTGTCCTACTTGCCATACAGCAATATTGCCTCTCTTTGGCACATTGTATAAAATCTTTTAAAATTACGATAACTAAAGGAATCACCTTCATTTTCAGAACTGACATTAAAACAAGACAATCATGGCCCATTCTATGACGATTAGAACACAACAAACAGTAACAACGACCGGTTCGACGATTGTTATCAACACTGGCCATTTAAAAAGTTGGAGCGGTATATTGAAACTTTTACAACTGGTATGTGTTATTATTATTATTATATTTGTTTATTTAGATATTTTATTCCTACTATACTTATTCATAATTTGAAATATTCATGAATTCTCTCTTTTTCTTTTGGGATAGTATTTTTAGTAAACTATATTGTCGCTTTTAGATGCAATAAGATATAAGTATTTGCTGTGATATATTCTTAAATATTTTATCACGTCAGAAACGTATATATGTTTATACTTTGTTAATTTTTCCACGAAAAAATTAATCAATGTTTAATAAGTATTCTTATGTTTTATCAATAGGCGATGGGGATAGTTTGTGTAGGAATCATCGGTAATGAATATCCTTATGCCAGTAAAACGGAAGAGCCTTTCTTTTTTGTCATAACGACTACTTTTATGATTGGTACTTTCATTCTTCTCCTCAGTTGCCTAATATCTTTTTCTACCGCAGCTATTATATCCAAGACGATTTACGTGAGTACTTTTAAATAGATTGATATATAGATAAATAAATATAAAAAATTGATTCATAATATTTAAGATATAATTGATTTGATTTAGAGATTAGATATTTGTATCTTATTTATATTTGAACAAAAAGAACAATTATTCCGAAATATTAAAATTAACATGTAAACAACATTAATAAAGTAGAAATTAAGAACAGTTATTTTTGCTGAATTTATTACAAATTTGTTATGTTAATTGACAAAGATTTTTAAAATTTTCAGGAATTTATTTATCATTTCATTGCATCTTTATTAATATTTTCGGCTTCATTGACGTTGTTGGTGCACGTCACTAATTATAGGCGATCGAACTTATTATTAACCGCTGCTGTAAGTAGACTATGATATTCTTAAAAATGTGATTAAGATAGAAGATATTAAAACTTGTAACATACAATAATATTTAATTTAATTAGATAAATATTTACAAATACATAGTCAGGCTTGAACCCGCGTCCTGATTTTCGTACATATTGTTACCGTAAGATCATAATCCTAAACTTTTAGAACATTACTCAGGACTATGATCTTAATAACATATTTGAAAATCAAAATAATCGAGCCTGACTGTATATTTATAAACATTCATTATTTAATTGTAAAAAATAATGTGTTATTTGGATATTTCATTTATCATGTAATTTTATGTAAAATTTATATTTGATTTATATATCTATATTACTTAATTTTGTTGTTAAAATAATGTGTTAATTCTCTGATTTAGATTTGCGGTCTGATAAACACAGCTTTATATATCTGCAGCACAATCTTCGCTTTTCGCAATTACAGAGGAGCCTAAGCGATCAAATAATGCAATCGGAAGTTTTTAAAAAGTGAAAAGGTATCACTTTTATACAAATTACAGTCTTTATGCAAACTTATTTATTTTACAAATATTATTCAATTAAATTGATGCAGAAGCTGTACAATACATATGAACTGTTTGTTGTCAAATAACAAACATTCGAGATTTCTGAGGAATATTTAAAAAGTGATGAAAAATATTTTGTTGATCTATGCTATGCGTTTCATAAAATTTTGACAAAATTCATCCTTTATACTTTTATACGATAATATTATTGGTCCTTACACACAAAATTACGAGATTTATAATGCTCACTAGATATCACTAATGTTATTTTAATATCATTACGTTATTTTAATCCCAAATATATAAAAGAATTTGTGTTTTGAAAATTGCACTTTATGTAACATATTACAACGAAAAGTACGTGAATTTCATATTATTCTTAATCTCAAATTATTTGAATATTTTATTGCATACGTTTTGTATCAATATACGACATTCGCACTTGTATAATATATTCATCGCGGTCTTGCAATGATTAAGTGATTTGCGACTAATATTTTCGCAGAATATATATTTAACGTAAACATATTTATTTTATGCGCCTATAAAATATTTATATTCAAAATAAATAATTGAATATAAATTATATCATAATTGATCTCTATTAGAAGATTCGGACAAAAGTTTCGAACAAAGTAGTAAAACGGTTCAATCAATAGGTTATAGATTACTATTGCAAGAGTTGTGTGTGTGTATGTGTATTGATTACTTTGTACTTAATTAATTTTTATCTGCTTGTGTCTTCACTTCTTTTGTATTGATGATATCTTTGATATTCTCATTTTCTCTCGTCTCTGATTTATGTATGATACTTGTTCATTTTAATTAATTTTTTAAATCCAAATCACAAAATCTTAAAAAATTTTCCTAACAAATATATAATTATATATAAAATTCTGAAAATTATAGTGCAAATTTATTTACGCTTACTTATTTTGTAAATATAATTGAATATTATAAAATTATAATAAGAATTATAATACGAAATAAAATTCTTGTAATTCTTGTAAAAAATTTTATTTCCCTTTCGAGTTTTTTGCGTTTTCTCCAGCTGCGCACAGTCAGCAGACAAAACATTCGTAGCACGTGCCAAAAATAGACAGTAATTTCCCTTGCGTTGAATGCTATGCGGGGGGTGCAACGACATTTAAACTTTGTGGATGCACGCGCTTACATTCTCAGTCGGTTTCAAGGTATCACCGATCGCAGTTGTGTTCCGTGTTTCTTTAAAAATTACTACTTCAGGAAAGATAATTGAATCAAGTGTGAATATTAAATTACCTTAGTTGTGTACAATACGAAATGGGCATGAATGGTATAAGACCAGTGATTGGAATGTCATCTTCTGGCACACACAGCACGGGCGGTGTCGGTTGCTGTTGTTTCAGGTGTTGCACATGCATACATGTAGAATTTTTTAAAACATTACCGGGAATTATAAAAATTTGTGAAACGGTAAGTAATAGCATGCAAATTATTTGATATAGTAAAATTCGGAGGAAAATTATGCTCAAAGAAACAGTGTGTGTCAAATTTTATTCTTTGAAATGCCAATGTTGAGATGTATTTAATATTTATATAATTGTAATTTAATAAATGATTCCAGGTAATCAGTGGATTAATACAGAGTTTACTTATCAATTATGGCTTGAGGTATAGTTCATCCATTGGTTCGGCTTTTGAGGGATCATTGACCACGGCATCCGCTTGTTTTCTGACATCCGCTCTTCTACTTGCTTGTTATACACTTTCTGAAAAAACTTACAGGCTGATTCGTTCATCACTTTTTGTATGTATTTATCTCATATATACACAAATACATAAGTGATAAAGCGTTATGGAAAGAAATATTAGAAACTTGCACGCATTTTAAATAATTTAATACTTATTTCGATTATGTACTTTGCAGTATTTTCAAGGAAAATACTATGTTTTCATTAATCCGAAAATTTTCTAAAACTTTTATATTACATTTTTTTTCTATTAATAGGAAATGATGTTCAATTCTTTAGCCTGCTTCCTGTACGTAAGCTCAGCATCTTATTTGGGTTTTGCTACAAAACTATATCTAATGGCTGATTATTATATGAAACCTGGCTTCGATGTTTATCCTGCCATGACAGCTGCTTACGTAAGTTGTTTAACGCGCTCAAACACAAATTTGACACTTTCATTAGTCAGCTTCGTTAACGGTGCATTGCGGAAGTAAGAATTTTTGTCAATAATTCTGAATGTTCAATACAACAAAATTGTATTAGATTTTAGAACGGCGAAACTTTTGATCAAGTGTTAAATTTCATTTATAAGGATGTGAAAAGTGATCGATCTATGTTACAGATGCTATCTGGCGTTATGGGTATATTGCACGGGGCAGATGCATATCTGTCATTTGTGTATTACAAAACTGGAAGATGAATCATGATAATGTGGGAATGCGAGTTGTATAATTTTGCAAAGATACGTGACAATTATATAAATGCTTATACATTAAGAGACGTTGAACAGATACTCTAGTCGAACGGATGTGAGCCTCCTCGAAGAGGAATTGCGCATAGCAATCAGATTCAGATTTTATACTTTATCAGAAAACACAATGATAATTATCGATCGGTAACTACTAGACACTATATTAATCTTTTAAAATCTAATAATTTCAATCGATCGATTATAACAAGCCGAAATTAAATTTTTACGAATTATAAACGTGATCTATCTGCAATATTGTTTATCGATGTAAAGTGTGTGTGACGTGTTTCCTAAATCAACATTCCGTTGAACTTTGGCGCATCATAATGCTGCCGTATTATATGCATGGTGGAATAGATAATGCTCGAAAAATGATCGATGATTTATATCGACTTATTTTATCCTTTATTACTTGTACCTTTTAATACGAAATAAATCAATGGATAATAAATTTTTATACTCAATTTACTCGAATACAATTATTTTCCGAGGCATAAAAATCCATGAAATGTCTCTAACAGTAAAAGTTTACTTCCTTTTACACAACAGTCATTTACGTAATTTCGTTCGGCTATAGCCAGCGTTTTCTCTCACTGGGAACTATACAAAAACTACCCCTGCCACCGCGCATTGCGCCACGCTATTTCAATGCATATCAGGATGTAAACCTGCATATATTGGACCTGGACTCCGAGATGAATGGAAATTACACAGCTCCTCGTGGATCGCACGATGCTTCTCTGAGGTTTTTCTTTCCGCTTACCCGCCTTCCCCTGTCCTGGTTAATAAACCACGCACGCACACTCTATCCTCCTTCCTCAAACGCTTCTTTCTCTCTCCTTAACAGTCGATGTATCCACTCTTCTCTTCGTTCCTCCGATATCGCTTGTCTTTCCTTCTCGTCGCTCTCATTGACGCCTCACGGAGCATATCGTATGACCGCAGGCATGTGGCTGACAGTTTACCTCAGGATCTCGAGCCGGTCGACACGTGAAGCACTCGAGAGTGCTTTCAATGTTCAAATCTACAATCGCTCACTTATTACAGATTTCGTTCCGTCAATTAAGATTACATGGAGCAAAATGCAGTGAAAACAGAATTGCTCTTATTTTTTCTTACAAAAGTGACAAAGAATGGGAATACAGAAGTTAAAATTATGAACAACAGCATAAACATCTCGTCAACAGAAGGTAATACGATAAAAGAATATACAATAAAAAGTATTATTAATTAATAATCAAGGTGACGGTGTGATTTATCAAGGAGCACATAATTTACAAAATTTTTATAAATGTGTGTCTGATATATGTATATTAGATACTGGAAAATTTAATTGTTTATGAACAGTTCTAATAAAGAATGATTAGAAAACATATTTGTACTTGTGCGTTCGTTAAACTTTCAAAAGTTTGATTTGGATTAAAAAATATTGTATACAATGAAAAGCTTAAAAAATTGCAATTGTCTTGTTACTGAAGATAAAGATGCAGTAATAAATATTTCTTTGAATAAAACAAAATTTTAATTATAATAATGTTCAATGATTTCTACCTGCATGCATATACATCTGACATGCTATTGCCGTTGTAAAAACAACAAAGGAGATAAATGCTTGTCTCGTTTGAGAACATTGAACAAGTTAATTTATAAACTGATAATATCACAGAAATTATGTACACATTCACAAATGTAAGCAGTTATTAAAAACCTCATTAAGAAGATTAAAGTATAAAACGAATGGAAATACACAACTTGTGAGTGAAAGTAGACTTTCGTGATAGCTCATGATTCGTGTTTTATTGATCAATCTGTTGCGACTAATAAATTTTCGTATTTCTTTAACTTCGTACTTCATAAATTCGTACATTTTCAAAGAAAATAAAATTGTTCAATGTCACGAGTGTATTCCAGGAATCAATTTTATGCAGAATTTAATAGTATTGATAGTATAATGCACGATTATGTGCGTACTTGGAACGATAAATTCCAAACGTATGAAACACTTTGTATAATGAATTCATATTACTTTTTTATATCGTATAATAAGAACAGTTTGAGGTTTAAATATTATTTAAATTAAGATTTTTATGTCTCATTGCATTGCATTTTAGAATTCTTATACGTCTAGCACAATTAATTATAACGATAAAATAAAAATAAAATGGCCAAATATTAAACATTTTATATTATGTTGATAAATTATCTCTTATTTAATAATCGATATCTCGATTTTTAATCAATTATCAGGAGACGCGGTAGTGTTTCCGGCCAAGTTCAAAAAACGACACTACTAAGTTTATTTTATTGGAAAATATTCTTTACGTTTTAAAATATTTTAGAACTGAATTAATCTCCTGCCAAGATTTTTATTAGCATTTTATATATGACACATTGGATACGTTGCCAAGAAAAGAAGGTCGTAATTGTAGAGTATTCTGATCTACAAGCCTGTCATTTGCATATTAAAAATTGCGTCATATCAATTTCATGCTGTGAGCCGAACTAAGAAAGCCGGCAAATAACTGTATTAGCCACGTTTACATTGTGATCCGAGTAAAAGTGGTAAGACTCGACAATGAGATGAAATTGCTTGATTTGCAAGGACACAATATATACGAATGAATAAAACATTACGTGTACAGCCTTTATAAAAAAAACCGTTAGTTGATAAAAATCAATAAAAATGCCGATAACGTAGACATTCCTTAGAAATTCCATTCCTAAGTCCAAATCATCGTCATGAGTCACTACAGAACGCATCAAGCATATCTTTCTCGAGTGCGTAGCGATAAATGCAACGTTCAAATTTTTTAAAATTCCACAGATGATTTCCATTTCAAGTAACATATTGTCTTTAATCTTTGTGTGCACTATGTTGACGTGATATGTATATATTTACGCACGTAATAAAGCTTTAATATGTATAAAATAATACATATAAATTTTTTATTTTTATTCAATTTTTTTGCTGACATTAGTATAAGTTTTTCGTTATTTAATATTTTTGTTTACATATTTCAAATCTCAGTAAAACATTATTTTACTTATTTTTGGAGCGCAAGTAAAACTTTGCGTTTTTGATTGCCTGTATTTCGATTATTTATGATCATACCAAATCGATAATTTTAAATATAGTTGTCTTGCCAAATTAATACGCAATTAGAACATATCTATATATACTTTTACATGCTTAAATAGAAAAATTAATTTAGGGCGTTTCACATACTTTAGAAATAGAAATAATTTATCTTTCGACATAAATTAAATTTTTTTGCAAACAAGTAATCAAGCGAAAATAATATTATTTCTTGGAAATCAGCATCAGTTCTTTCGGAGAAAAATATTGCTTGCAGTTCAAAATGAGAAAAGTTATATTTTTTACAGTTATTTTTTCTGAGTGTTTTGTACACTTGAAAACAAAATCGCTTATTATTCAAACGGCATTCAATTACGCTCGTTGGAATTTATACATCTACATTGTTGCGGATGCTTGTATTTATTATTGGACGATTAACAAGCTTCAATGTAAAAATATCGATTAATCAGTATGCAAGCGCGATCGCAATGAAAATTCATTCTTCTACTGCGTGGCAATAAAGTATAAGCATCAAAACTTTTACATTTTTTTAATCGGATGTATTTTAACACATATATTGTAATATAAATCAACTTTGAAAGTAAGAATGTAATTGAAATCTAACAATTTTAATTTTAATTTTAACTTTTATTAATAATATTGATAAATTATTGATAATAATAAATAATAACATATAAGAATTAAATAAACACTTGAAATAATTAGAAAACAGCATTAATTTCAAATATTGAGCACGAGTATGCAACATACATAATAGAAGAAACGCCTCTCATCTCAAGTTACTCGCTTCTGATTATCAGCAAGTCAGCACATGGCGAGCAATATGATAAACATCAATATCGACAACGTGATATTGATATTTGCATAAAATTAGATAAAAGCACAAAACTGCTCGTTTTCTGTCAGTTTTAGTTTAAATTTTTTTTACTTTCCGAACTTTTTTAGACATTACGAATCATTACAAATGGTTTATTGTTTACATTTAAACTGTTCAAACTGTCTAGACTGTAATATTTTTACTTTAAACTGTTCAAACAATTCTGTTCAAACACATATGTGTTTTCCAACTTTTCATTCGAGCCTAAATTTAAATATGTATTAACAACTATAATGTGTATTTGAAGTAGCGCAAAGAATTATTCGGTCTAGCAGTGCTAAATGCTGAGCGCAATTTTTTTGTAATTGAAAAATACTCATGTACAGCGTGGCCTTTGCTGACGATAACTTTCACATGCATCGGCATAAATACAAACTGCTCGTTTCTTGAATTACGTAAGGCGACGTGCGTTATTTTCAATGTCACCTCTTAATTAATAACTAATTTTATCCGGTTAAAATAAAGTAACAAATATTCATCCTCGACAATGATAATAAAATTTAAAGCAACAAGATAATGTAATAGAGGGTGTAAGACAAATGATTTTTTCTATCATACATATCTAATGCACGAAAAAAATTATCTTTTTTTAGCGTACGCAGCTACATCGAAAAGATCTCTCATTATCGAAGAACAGGACGCAATTGTGACACTAGTGATCGTTGTGATTGGTATCATAATTGCTATCGTGGTGCTATTCTCGATGGGTATCTTCATAGACTGCAAACATCAGTACGTAACAATGTATTTTTTCTTTCACTAGTTTTCAAAACATCCGCATTTTAATAATTAAACGATTCTTTTAAAAAAACAGCGAAAACATTATCGTTCTGAATATACATTAATACAATAGAAAGCTGTTTTCTATTTAAATAAAGTGTAAATTAGATAATGATGCGCTCGTTGGAAAGATATGTTCTCCAGAACGATAATACTTTATTACAGAAAGGATTCCATGAGAAAAAGAAGATTAAGGTTGAAAATGCCGCCGCTATCACGAAGAAAGCAAAAAGACGATGTGAAAGCGTTGGCTTCGAATATGTATCCTAATGATACCGGATGCTAGCAATACCGATAATCACAGTGTGTTACAATTCGTGTTATGGAAAACTATGGAAAAAATCTGAAATCTACATTTTTTTATAATGATATTAATTAATAATTAATATTGAAAAGTTAAGAAAAATATTACATAAAAAATATATAGGCTCATATTAATAAATAAATTAAACATTAGGATATCGAGCCAACGGCAGATGTATTTGCTATAACAATTTTCTTTTATTAACGTTTCGGTCAAGACAGATTTGAGAAATTTAATTTAAGAAAAATGTTGAAATATATTTCGTTATTTTTATAGGAATATGTTTATTGCATATCAAGGATACCGTGCGATTTTGTGATATCTATTTTGTAGATAAAATAATGAATTCGGAATAATAGACATTTACGTCATATATAATTTTTACAAGTATGTATGTGAATTGTTTCGCGTTTTACACATGTAAATTAGAATTGATTAGGGCTGTAGTACATTTATTTTATGTGACAAACAGTTAATTTTAAATAATGTTTCATCTGATTATTAATATTATTTTATACGACGTTTTGGCTACGCGAGATTAACATAGTTCATAACATATCAGTTATGTTCTTCTCTTGTTTTTTACGACTTAATTTATAAAAGTTACATTGTAAAACGTATATTATATAATTATAATAATTGAAGGGGATTTATGAACGACTATGTATAAGAAATTAGATTATGCTCGCCTGGATCTGATACCAGAAAATACATCATTTATGTTACGAATCAAGTTAAGAAAATTGTTGCTGCTGTGATTTACAAACCATTAAATATTTATCTATAGTTGAATTAGCAGAAGACAGTCATGATCATGATTTTGTTAGATCTGAATTTGCTCAAGAACAATGAACTTGTAGTGTTTAATTCCAAACTTGAGGATCTGATGTGTTGTTAACGATAACTATGTTAAAGAACTTAATCAAGAATTTAAATGAGTATCAAGTTACTATTTTATAGATCTACACATGTAATTATAAAATATACATAAAATTTTGTAACAATAAGTAACGCAAATTGCATGAAAAATTGTCGAATATATGAATCAATCATCTCAGCTTTCCCTCACAAACAAACATCTTTATATTTTACTTTTTTCGCAAAACTATTATTAACCCATAACCCATAACCCATAACTGCGAGATATAAAGGTTCAAAGTGCAGAAAAATTTATTTTTTAAGACAAAATTCGGATTTTTGAAGTGATCGGAAGTGGTTTAGTAAAGGGTCATTTTAAAAATCTCGAGGAATAAACACTAGGACTTTCTCCATTTTTTCTGAAAGTACTGAAAGATCCAGACATGTAAATTGACAATCGTATCATTGAGTATTGAATCTCTAATGATTTCAGTGCGTACTTAGATTGAATTGTATTTTTTACTAACTTATAAATAAAATTAAAAGAATATTTCACAGTTGTATAATATGTAATCCTTTAATAATCAACCGTTAAAAATGATTCTTCGGCGGAACATATTGCTTTACAGCATATAATTGAATATTTGCGACATGAAGAAAGTACCGAACAAGCGATATCCCCCAAAACTGTCACCACAGTTGTCGCAGAAACCATACAGGTTCTGTTGCGAGGAGAAGGATCAAGACCCTAGGAAGCAATATGACATGCAAAAGCCGCCCTTTGTATCGTCGTTGACAGATGTAGTTCTGGACGGCGGCGGACCCGGTGTAAAGTTCCGTGTTCAGGACATTGGTCGACCGCCGTATACCATTCAGCGTAGAATTCTTGAAGTCAGAGGCCTAGCTTATTTAGGGCATTGCAAACGATGTCGAGGTCCTTTGCGATGGTATTTGGAGGACGAAATTGCGCTGGCGCGCGAAATTCTCGCGAAGCAGAGACAGGATAATTACAACGTGAATGTGAAAAGGAACTTGATGATGGTCAAACGAAAGGGTAACATTCTAAATTTCCAAAATAAGAATTATTTTTTTATTTTTTTTTCTATAATATATTTAATAATATGCCATAGTTTATAGTTTAATAATTTTTTTTTAATTTAAGATATAATGTACGTCACTTTTTGTAAAATTTAAAAAAACAGGAATGCAATGTTTGTAGCATCAATTGTAAAATGCATATAACTGTGATAAGTATTTTATTATAATTGCAAACCATTTATTTTAATTAAATATTTAATACAGTACGAGAACGCCGGAAGAAGTTTGCAGATTCTCGAAATAAAAATGATACAAGATCACAATGAGCGATTAAAAAAAAACCCTAAAAATAAATTTGTTATATAAACGTTCAAGCAATGACCAAAATTGTATAAGGATTGAAAGAATATAAAATATAATGATTTTTTTTCACAATAACAAAATTTTACAATATTTTTATAAACCGCTGAAAATAATAACAAAATATTGGTAAACAGAATGAGATAGAATATATTCAAATGTTTATTAGAAAATGTATTTTAGTAAAATAAAAATATTTATACAGCTTTACTTGCTATTTAATATAATATTAGAGAATAATAATATAATTATATAGAAATCAATATACAAAAAACCATAGAAAAAAAGAAAAAAAACAAATATCATTAGGTTTAGAAATTAATATTAATATATATTAATCGTTAAATGTTAATATATATTAACAATTCTTAAATATTAATATATATTAATTCTTAAATATTAATATATATTAATAATTTTTAAATATTAATATTATTAATAATTAATAATATTATTATTATATAACAATATTATTCGTTTTTAGAAAACTTATATGATAATAGTATTTTATGACATAGAATTTGAAATAAATTCACAAATTGCATTCGATGTGACGTGGTTTTAATATAAATGAAAATTATAGGTAAAGTAATAACGTAATGTATGTAACGACACAAAACGCACTTTTTTTAATCGTAATGACGTTATATTATCATCAGTAAATACGTCAAACAAATAAAATTCTAATCTTAGTTATGTTTAAATCATGTTTACAACCAAAAAAAAGTCTATTATATGAATAATTGATATAATTACAACAGAATTATTTAAAGAAATTTAATGATTTTACTGAAAATTTAAAGGAAAATGGGTAATTGAATTTTTTAGATCACAACTTAAAATTATAAGCATTAAATTTGGTGCGGAAGCGGAATTATTCGATGTTATAGATGTACATTATCATGACCGCAATAATAAAAATGATACAGGAATTACATGAATTAATCTTTGGCTGTGTCTCTTGACGTGCATTATAATAATAGCACGTAAATTTGTAACAAAGGCAGCATATTGAGTCGTTTGCAAAAAGAAAAAAAATAAAACATATAGTCGCGTATACTCTCTTCGTAACACTCTCAAGTATTACATAAATATCGTTACATAAACAACATAGGCAAAAGAAATAAAAATATATTTAAATTTTGAAAAAAAAAAAATTAAATATATATATATATATGTTTAAACTTTTATAGTGCAAATTTGTATATACGTATGTATATAAAATTCATGTCACACGGTGTGCTTTTTTGTATCAGAATGAATAAACTAGTATTTGCTAGAAATGCACCAATATAGCGCTTCTAGCTATTCTACTAGCTTATATGCAAAGAACACACATCATGCGTCGCGTTGTTTCGAATTTGCAACATGTTACCTAAGTTACAAAGCTATACCGTATGTTTAGGAATGTTGTCCACAACGGCCTCGTCGTCCTGGTTCGCGCTATCGGTGGCCGTTTGTACAATGGGATTAACGGCAGCGGTTACGAGTTTTTCCGAATGCGGTATTTTTTGTACGACAGGATGCTGCGCTTCCGGATCAGATGCAGGTAATTCGTCTGTCAAAGTACATCTGGGCGTTGTTTCGTCCTTTGACGGCCTTCTCGAATTATCATTTTGCTTATCCGGATCAGTCTTAGTTACAGATTCCGCCGTTTTTATCGTACACGCCGATCCTGAGGAAGTGTTCGAACTGTTATCCGTATCTATATTTTCGGATTGCGTTTCCAAATTATGAGTACCATTTAAATTAGAAGCATCGTTCACACTTTTAGGAATTTGCTGTTCTTCCGACAAGTCTGGTATCGTTTCTGAAGTTTGAGGCTCTGGAGGCTCGTTTACATCAGACTGCATCTCAGCATGTATCTTCTGTTCTTCAATGTGACTAGTATCAAGTTGTGTGATATCCTGGAGTTGTTCCTCCGATGAAATTTTTATCGAATCTACGTTTTCGGTGACATCGCTTATTGTCCTTTCCAGAATTTGCGTCACTAAAGATTTATTCATATTTTCAGATTGTGTTTGAGAAGGTAATTCGTCGGTATCAATTTGAGCAGCAGCCTGTGATTGCTCTTCATTTCTGACCAACAAATTCGAATCCACGACTTCTCGCGATTCTCGATCATCAATGGCATTTTTTATCATATTTTCAATTATATCATCAACACTAAGTTCTGTTACGGGAGAAGATCTTTCAAAACACAGTGCGTTAGTAGCCAAGTTTGTAGAAATCATTTTATCGTTGATATCTAAATCTTTATTAATTTCAATAGTGCTGATATTTTCTGATATTTCATTTGTGTCAGTAGTCTCGTTTATGTTTTCCTCGATTGTGCTAAGACTTGCAGTATTCTTCTCGAAATTCTGTTCTTCCTTATATTCATATTCTTTATTTACATTGAAAGATTCAAGTGAAGATTCGTTAAGTACTTCTTCATCAATTGCATCTTCAAGTTCCTCCATTTGATTATTCGGTTCTTGTTGAATCTCATTTAAATTTGAAGCTTTCTCGTCATCATTTTTCTCTGTATTAGGACTGACATTTTTAACTTCTGTTTCAGTTATTTCTTCAACTTCTGGAGCTTCGTCAACTTTTGGAATGTTTTCGCATTCACTCAATAAAAGATCGACAACGTTTATCCCATTCAGATTTAATCGGACGTGTATCGGGTCGTCTTCATCAAGAGTCTGAAATTCGAACATCGTTGCTCCATCGGCAGCGAGTTCCTTGAATTTTTCGCAAGCTTTCTCGCTCCATGTAGCGATGTGACTCGGTTTTTCTAGCGTGCATCGTTTTGATAAGATGGGAATATTCACGATGTCCTCCGGTAACATTCTCAACTCTTCTGTAATTGCAGAATTTCCATAATCCAAATACAAAACTTCTGCGGCATTCTCGTAGCGGACAATCTTCGCTCTGTACCAATATCCGTCCTCGGGGTATCGAGCGGCACAGACTGTGCCGATGCTTAGGTCGTTCAACGTGAGGAAACTTTCCGCATCTTGCAGACGATCCGACATCACTTCCAGTTCGTTCATATTGCTCTCGGTTTGAATCCAGAATTCGCTTGGGTCATTAATATGACTGATCACTACGTTCGGCGAATTCTCTTCGCCAAGCGGTGGCAATCTTTCCTCGATGACCGGCGAATGTTGCTCGCACATACCTGCTAGAATGTCAGCGACATTTTGGCCGTTATATGTTAGCTTCACCGATGACTTCTCTTGCTCCTTCAATACATCCAGCAAGAAAATTGTCGCACCTTCCGCAGACAAGTTGATGAACTCTTCACGCGCTTGTTCTGACCATTCTTTAATGTGGGATGGTAATTCTAGGCAACATTTTCGCGACAAAGGCGGTATATTCGCCAGGTCATCCGGGATAGTGCGAATCTCAGTGGATACCGCGGAATTTCCGTAATCTATATATATGACTTGCGTGCCCTTATCGTCGTGAGAGATAACACGCGCCCTGTACCACTGATCGTCCTCGGGAAATTTGGCGACGCACAGTAAACCTTCCTTCACGTCCTCGATCTTCGGGAACATGTCGGCAACCATGAATCTGTCCGCCATCACTTCCAAATCGGCAACCGATTTCTCTTCTTGCACCCAAAACTCGTCCAGTGAATTGGCATGGCACACGAAAGCGGAATGTGGATCCAGTTCGAGATCGACTATCTCATCCACGGGCTCTTGCTCGGTGTTAATTATAACGGCATGCTTCTCCTCGACCAACGTCTCGCTAACGCTCTTGTCGTTTATGAATAGCTCGACGCGTTTAGGCGTGGTATCTGCTACCACCAGAGCTTGAAGAGTGTCCACCGACATTACTAGATTTGAGAATCTCTCGCAAGTCGTCTCGTTCCAGTCCTCTGTGTCCACGGGAATAATATCGAGTCTGCATTTCTGCGCGAATCTTTCTAGATTTTTGCAGCTCTCCGGTATTTGACGAATGTTGCCTACCTTATTATTGATAACATCTGTGTTGCCGTAGTCCACGAATCGAACCGTTGTAATGTCCTCATCCGCGTCCAATACTTCTGCGCGATACCATAGGTTATCGATGGAGTAAACGGCGGCGCACAAAGAGCCTTCTTCCGGTACATCATCTATCGTTGGAAAATTGAAGACCTCCTGTTGAAGTTGTGTTTGATTATAACCGAGAGAGGCGACTTTGTCCACTCGTTGCAACCAAAACTGACTCGGAGAATCCACGTGAGACACGTATACATCGAATCTGTCGGTCGCTGATTTTTCCGCTGTCTCTTCTTCCTTGATTAGATTCAGTGAGCGGCATTTATCGCTGAACTTTTCTTCATTTTCCATCAAATCAACAGTCCACTTCTCGTGTACGTTGTAGAAGACAGCTGTGAGCTCTCTGTCCGTTAAATAAGTTTGAAGTATATTTATTTGTTCGGCCTCGGTGCCGATAAGAGTTATGGGTAAGGATACATTAATAGTTAGCATATAAGGTTCGTAAAACTGCGGTTCCAAAACCATGATCGATTCTAGATCGAGTACCTCATTGTTGCCGTAATCAATGTAATGCACATAGGCCGTTGTTTCAGTGCAGCTAATAATCTTCGCTCTATACCATTGGTTGTCTAAAGATTTGGCCGCGCACAATAAATGTGCCTCCGGTTTCAGTTTTTGTCTAGGCTCAGCATAATATTGTGCGAGATCTTCCAATAGTTTAGCTTCGAGCTCGATGTCCGAGTATCGTTGCAACCAGATGCTGGCTGAATGTTCTGCATATGACACAGACACTTTCTGAGTCGAACTTATAATAGGCAGCGGACATATGGGCAATATCTTGTTATCCTCTTCTTCTGTATTTATTATTCCGTTGCCGGATAAATCGTACAATTTTACAAAAAGCCTATATAAACGGCAAATATTAATATTCAAGAAAATAAGTTTAAGAATAAGTTTTCTCGAAACTTATTTTTGTATAATAAAATAAAAATTACCTGTTATCTTCAACTTCTTTTACACGAATCAGTACCTCTTTTCCTTCAAATTCTTTCAATTGTTTGTCCAAGTCGGGAGATGCTGGCACATTGTACAGAGAGCATTCTAATGCTTGATTTTGCATAATCGCGAGGTCTCCAGGTAGCGCCAAAGCCTTGAAATTGTTATATTTTTACAGACATGAAATAAATGATTATATAACAAATTTCTATTTAAACAATACAGTGTATCGTAATCTAAAGTTGCAGCGTGATGTATGGTATCAACTTGCACCTATCAATAAGATCTGTGTAAAAGTTTTTTGTAATATGACTAAATAAACTCACGCTATCTTGTATTTCATCATACGCCCCCGGTATCAATAAGTTTTACATCAAACCTGGTAGACCGTGAACAGTCAATTATTACAGCTCGCCACCAAGTTCCATTTGCATTGATAAGACAACCCGCGCCAAGACACATCTCGTGGCTTGATAATCGCGGCATCACCTGACATTATCATAACTTCTTTTTATCAATACAATTTGCTTGTACTCATGCGATGAATCATACATACGGCAGGCTGAATCGTAAGCTATGTCAATGTGAAGTTGTTGTTAGAACAATGTTACAATTAATTATTGATTATGCAGTTGTTAATACCATACATCGTGCAATGAAATTGAGACATCTTATTTAAAAATTTTAAATCTTATTTAAATAATGTTAGCATGACGGAACTATATGATTCGATTCAGGTTGAATGTTATAAATTTAGTAACATGATTAATATTAATTTTATGACATAATTAGTCGTTTACATTAACAAAACATAAACGTTTAAAATTTATAAATAAATTACACATTTATGTATTCTAAAAAATAATACATAGTTCAATCCGCGATTGTTTAAACAATTTATCACATATAAAAGATGCTAGAAGATAAATTATTACGATGACAAACTTATATTAGTTTATATTTGTTATATATGTGTTAGAAAATGGGATGCTATATTTTTCAGATTTTTTATAATATATATAAATAATATGATAGCATATGAGACGCAGTCGCAGTAATGTAAATTACCCTAAATAATACCTCTGTATTTTTATCAGCCATATACTTGTCAACAATGTTTTCACACTTGGAAGCTGACGGGTGCTGGACGTGAAACCGAAGTGTACTTTCTACATTAGAAACTCTCATTTTGAGAGTCTGACCACTCAACAGATTTATGTCCATTCTTTCTACTTCTGTTTCTGCAACTAAAAATGTTGTAATTTAAATACAAATAGAAAAATATCATATTTTTAATATTTAATATAAATATGCAATTTTTCTCATCTTAAAAAATACCACCAAACAATTTTTATTATAAATTACGATATTGAGTATTAATAAATTTAAATAATTCTTACCACAAGCTGTTTCGGTAAAAGTTTTTGTAGCAAAGGATGCAAGATTTTTTTGTACTAACATATCACTCACATTTTGTCCGTCGTGAGTTAATGAAACCGTGTAATTATTGTTACTAAAATCATAAAAGGTACATTCGTACTTGTCAGCATTAAAACAATTATCGAGTGCATCAGTGTCCATTTCGGACCAACTCAAGTTATTATTAGGTACAATATCTTTCAAGGAACACTGCACCGCCAGTTTAGGCAATTGCATGAATTTCTTCTCGACAGAATATATACTACGTTGACTCAGAATTGCGCAATTTCCAAAATCTATATATTGAACTACATATGCATCCACCTGTGCACGTGTAGTTTTCTGTTCAATGCTTACAACTTCTGCTCGATAAAGAGCCTTGTCTTCAGAAAACATTGCTATAACTGCTGAACCAACCTAAAACAATCATTTTTCCATTTATTCGTTCATTACACGTGTTATGGATACACTTTTTAAAATACGAAAGTAATAAACTTTGACAGAGTAGCGTAAATTACCTCTAATTTATGCGTTACAGGTTTCCTACCAGCGTATGTCTTTTGGATCTCATTCATCATTGCTTTAAATTCTGCTTCTTTAGTTAATATTTGACAGTAGAATTTATTAGGATTTATGAACCATGTAACGATTGCATCACATGTAAATTCAGGTTCGTAAGAAGTTACTTGCCACTTCGAATCAAAAGGAGCATAATCTGGAACTACTGGTATTTCCTGTGTCGTCACTTTAAGTGCTTTCTTATTTAATGCAGCTGTTTGTGTCAAGTCTACGCCCGCGCAAAATTCCTCATTAATATAATTATTGTTCGGTTCACCTTCGATGATTTCGCGTAACAATACTTCGTATACTCCGTTCTCTTCATTGACAAATTCAACCTGTAACGATTTTCCTTCGACTTTTTCTGAGAAAATCGTATATTTGTTTTCGTTAGCGTTTATATTCGTCAGTCCAAATAATTTACATTGTATCGCTTGCATCGGTAGTTTTAGAAACTCGTCTTGAATAATTTTAATTTTCGTGAAATCAACTGATTCCATGTTTCCATAATCTATGAATTTTACAATCGCACTAGTCTCTTCTAGAGATTTGATTATTGCTCTATACCACTTAAGATCCACCGAATATTGAGCAATGCAACATACTCCACATTGTATCTGAGAAACTTGCATCGTTTCTCCGCCGTTCTCATAAAATGCAGCAATGTTTTCCACAATAACGTCCAGTTCCAAACAATCAGGATTTAACTGAATAAAAAAGTCTGTCGGATCATTAATAAATACCACTTCGCAATTCTTCATGGTGCCAAGAGTAATATTTATAGATGAAAATTGTGAGCCTGCATTAGCAATTAAATTATTCTGTAACGTTTTATTAGTATTATTTGAATCCCATTCACAAGTATTTATCTGCAAATAATGATATGTATTCATGTAATATCAATTAATTAATATTAATCATTATTAATTACTATTACTAATTTTACCTGATTATATGAAACATTGCTCGTATCACTCTTTTCACTCCTGAATTCATTATTACTCTTGTTGTAATCACCTGTATTGAACAATAATTTATTAAATAATTATGTTTATATTATACAAATATAAATTATAAAATATCAAGTGTATCTTAACGTTAATTACCATTAAATTTCTCATTTCTATAGATGGGCTTAGTTGGTTTTTTGTTATTCCAGTTTGGAGTTTGAAATTTATCTGTTTTGTTATCAAAACGGTTTCCTCCTCGATCATCATTAAAGCTACGATTAAAACCACTTTTCCCACGTTTAGTACCATCCTTTGAAGAATCTGAATCTTTGTCGCTAAGTGTCGATTTATCGGCAAAACTGTTATGATTGTACCTCCGTTCATTGCCACCAAATCGATTTCCACCATCTCGAGTGGTTCCTCTGGCACCTCTATTAAATGTATTTGCTTCACCCTTATCGTATTTGTTATACGATCTCTCATTTCTATCTCTGCTGTACCTATTATTCACACCTTCGTCCTTAGAGAATCGATCGTTTTGCGGACTATCACGATGTGAATAATTGAGTTTTTCCCGTCTATTATTATCGTATTGTTTCTCTTGTGACCATTCATCTCTCCAGGTGTTCGGCTTGTTGTCTTGGAAAGACTTAGCATTTTGATTATGATTCCAAGAATCCGTGTTATTCTTCTTATTATATCTGTCTTTATTTTCACTGTAAGGAAACATGCAGTTATGTTGAAATAATTTTATTATAAATGGCACAAATAACAAAGAAGAGAGAAATATAGTGATGCAAAAATATTAAGAACAATTGAATAGTCTAATGAGAATTATTTATCAATCATTCTTATTGTCAGTATTATTACTTTGTACAATACAGTCTAAAAATTGTTACCATGGAATTTCTTCAAGCAACGTTTCTCAGTTATTACTAAAGTACAAATGATAAAACAAATATAACACAGAACAGTCTTTTTTCAACTGTACTAAAAATTTAAAAAAGCATTGCATTATTGTTACGTTTACCGTGTTGTTTATATTTTTCAATTGAATATAAAATCAGGAAATTAATTGAATGAATTATGCACAATTATGCATGTCACAATAGATTGCTTTTTACATAATTTTATAAATAATAATATTTAATATTGAATATTTATTACCTTTGGAAATCATTCGTTGTTTTTATAGAATGTTGAACTTCTTCGTTTCGCGAGCTTATTGTAGAATCGTCAGTTTTATCACAGAATATATTGTTCAACAGTTGGGGATGAATGCTCCTCATTGTGTCAAATTCAAACAAATCCACTAATAGGCCATCGGGTTGTGCAGCAACTACTTTCATGTAAAAACGTTTCTCGAGTGTCAATTTTTCGAAATGAGTAGAAACGTCTTGATCTGATGAAAGCACCTCATAACCATTCAATGCACATTTCAAAGCTTGTGCCGGCAATTTCGTCACTAAATCGTCGTGAATGGCACGAATCGAAAGAATGGATAATACTTCCTCATTGCCATAATCAACATATACCACTTTCACTTGATCTCCAACAATATTAAGGATTTGCGCACGATACCTAAAAAAGATTAGTATAATTATTAACTTACAGAATAGCAATTAATAACAGAGAAATGTTGTTGCAAAACTTACCACTGTGATTCGTACAGAGCGGCACAGGGCAAGCCTGGTTTTAGTTGCTCAATATTTAAAACAGCTGCGGTGTTAGCATACTGTGTCAAGCCAGCCATTATTGAGTCGAGGGACCTTATCCCATTTTCAAGTTGAACAAAGAATCTTTTACACGACTCCACGTAAGAGACATACACAATTTCCTGAATATCTTTCGATAATCGTCGTAATTGTGGATAGGAATGCGTTATCGGCATTGCAGCAGCTGGCGGTGGGAATGCTTTCTTCAGCATGTCCTTTATGTTAACATTGTTGTCGTACAAGTCACCATATTGAATTAACGGCGGTCCTTCTGGTGGACGGACATGTAGAACGAGTACTTTTCTGTGTACTAATTCTGTGAAGTACTGTTTCATTTCCTGTGTAACATTCAGTTCTTTTAGGCCGCTTAATGTAAACCTAATGGAAAGCACTTTGGGGTTAATGTACTCAGGTGGCAACTGGAAGATATCGGTATATGGTAGGACTTCTGTATGGCCAAAATCAACATAATACAATTTGCATTTATGTTCCATCACTGACATTACAACCGCCCGACATAGCACGCCGTCTCCTGTGTAGCGTCCCAAACAAACTGATCCTGGCAATGGTGGTTCTTGCAACGATTGCTTGGGACGGCTGTTTATTTCGTTCATAAGACGAGTCAGTACATCTTTCGTGCTTTCAACCTGCACGGAAAATTTTTGCGGGCCGTCTTCTACACACGATATTAACACTTCATGTTTGGAACCTATATCTAATACTCGAGATTTGAATACAAGTGCTTCTTGGACAGGCGATGACTGTGGTGGTGCTACCACTTGAGCAGCAGGTTTGTATTGATTTATGCCAGTGCAAAAGGTCTTATGATATATATTAGTATTGTGATTCATGTTTGGATTTTGTATTATTGGCATTGCAACATAATTATTCACATTTCCCTTGTTTTGTGGTTGGTATGGCATTGGCATTTGAGATTGCTGAGGTATTGGTATTTGAGGTTGCAGTACAAGATTTGGTCTAAAAAAAATAGACAAATATTTAAGTATCATAACATAAAAAAAAAGAAAGATGTAATCCTAAGAAATCTCTATAAGTTTACCTGAACATATCTTGTATGGAAGCTGGTAAAGCCATACGTTCTTTCACCAATAGTTCGCTAAAGTCTTCATTGTTGTACCACAATTTTATCAGGCAACGATTATTCATTGTATGAACTGATGTAGCTCTGTACTCATTGTAACATAGATTTCTTTTAATCGTCTCGATTATTCTATTTTCCCAAACGCAATTTATAGGCATCACATTAGCCAATATGAATTCTGCAGCTATTGCTGGAACAGTTTGCAGAGATTCTGAACCAGGTATATTCTCCATTAGATGGACATCATTTGGTGATAAAATCTCTATATTGCCATAATCAATAAATTGAACGACCATCATGTTATCCGGACGAATACTAAGTATTTTTGCTCGATAATATCCATCAGTTTGGAATCGAGCACAGCACAGTGAACCAATCAATCTATTGGCCTTGGAAGAAGAAACATATCCCTGATTGAAATGTTCTATTAGAGAATATATCTGACGCTCCACAAGAGCAGCATTCGATTTGTCCACTTGGCCCCAGATCTTCAAATATGTGTCGTCTGGTTCAACATGGGTGACGAAAATAACAAATTCGGAGGACGGCTGCATCATTTTGATCACTTTAATCTATGTGTTTAAGTCAAATCGTTTTTCCTTTTGTGTAATAGCTTTCTTTCTTGTATTTTTCGTCTTTGTTTGAACAATTCTCATCAATCTATAACATATAACAAATATTGATTTACAAGGATCCGAATTCTTTTTTCTAACCGTTACATCAATGAGACTAGATTATGCATTGCGACACTAATGCAAATATAATATGTAAATATAATATGTAAATATAATATAATTTATGCCATTCGAGCGTTGTGCAATAAGCAAATATTTCTATTCTGAATTGAGTTTACAACTATAAATCGTCTTCAATTCTATATATCTCATGTCCTTTGTTTCCATCTCAGGATGATATCACCTGTGCAGTATGAGATTGTAATATGAGATTTTGATTACAGCCGCGTTCTAATATGTACTGCCAGTACGAAAAGGTAACGTGAATTATAAATTTCAGTGGCAGTGAATATCAGAATGTAATCGTAAATTTACACTATTCCTATATTTATATTCTACATATTTATAATTAACCCATGAACGTATTTTTGTAGGTCATTCATCGAGTTTCTCAAGACATAAAAGTTGTAGATAATTGTTGAATCAATCAACTTTGTCCTTGCTATCGACTTTCCCGAAAATATTTGTATACACATATGCGCATAACGATAAAAACTTTTGAAAAAACATGAGACGAAACATGCAACATTCGAATGTTATAGCAGCATTGTTACCTGGAACTTAATACAGTTATTCCTGCGTTGTTTTCTTTATTTGAGTTTTTTAGTGATTAACGAAGCTACTGCCACATCTCACTCTGCTTCGAAAATCACACCATTACTTATGGCGCTTATCTTTTGCTAACAGCACAAAACTAACGGCAAGATCCTTCGAATAAAAATTTCTTGTGTACACCGAACTCTACGTCCCATATACTGGAACGCTATATACTGTAGGCCGCAGGCTAACGAAGAGGGCAGCAGAATAGCTGTGTCTCTTTTTGTTTTTTTTGGTAGATGCGTTGAGCCTCTGTCTTTGATATTTTTTTTGTATCTGTATATATTTATGCATAAATAAAAAAATTCCACAAATAAAATTATTGCAAATCATGAATTCTATTCCACTTGTTTTTAAATTTTATATATTAAATTTATTTATACAATATATTTCACACATACTAGAATATCATGTCTTTTTTAGTCTTTTTAAGGATAAACTGTGTAAATTATTGAAGAAAATGTATTTTTATTTTTATATATAATACACAAAAGAAGATAATTCGAATTCTTAACATCAAAGATTACAAGTTTTATTCAAAATTAGCGATTATTGATTACTGAGTATTGCACTCATTTTTCTCGCAAGAATAAATGTTTTTTCTTTGTTATACATTTTTACGCGTCCTTTTAAGACATGAACACATTTTTTATTAGAAATTTTAATGTTTTAGAAGAATTATAATATCTTTATCTTATTTTACAGAACTAATTATTTTCACTAAAGCTATACTCTTGTTATACAATACAATGGCTCTTAAAGTTAAACTTTTAAGTACATTATTTATTAACAAGTTTATTATACTGTAAATTATAGATCTATCTTTCCAAACTATTGTAACTTTCAATGACAATAAAATTAATACTTTTTTCAATTTATTAACTTTTAGAGAGCTATGTTTTTTTTAAATTATAAAACTTTTGTTCTAAGAAACAATCTACTGTTTAAGCTATTCAAAAAGTTTTCCAAGTTTTGTCTATAAAAAATAAATTAAAAAAATAAAAACTTTCCAAAAAACCAAACATATGTTTAACATATAACTAGCTTCAAAACATAATGCTGATTTCCACATAATAACATCTTGCAGTTTTTCTTTTTTAGAAAAGACTAATGATGATCATGATGATGAAATAATGATCAATTTAATATAATTGAACAATATTTGTAATCAAAAGAGTATTAAATAATACCTATTTAACTCGAAAGACTATATTGTGTGTACATCAATTTTCGTACTCTTGTAAATTGAGCAATGCAGTTTGCTAGATTAATCAAGTTTGTACATTATCGCACTTTTAGCAAACGCAATATCTTATATTTGTGAGTAATACTATCTTATTGAGATGAATAGTAGAATAAAAAAACAGAAAACATATCGAACATTCCTAAGCATGATCGGTGATAAGTTTGTGTTCAATATCTGTAGCTATGAGAAAGTAAGATGATCCGGAATGGTTGCATCCTCTGTATCCTCTTCAAATTCATTATTACTGTTTAAAGCGTTATAATCATTGTTTAAAGATAGATGTTCTCTCAGAACCAAAGAACGCATCTGTTCTAGAATCTGATGCAAAGAATCCGATCTCTGATCTATTCTATCGTTTAGAGGTGTAGCATCGCCACTTGTTGTCCCGCCTGCAGGTGTCTGTGGTGTGTTACTAGGTGGTATAGGAGTATTCGTGCCATCTCCTGTACCTGTAAGCATATGATGTTCTTCATTGACAAAAGATATTTAGCTAGAATCATATTTAGTGAAAATCATATGAGACATTTGTAATGAATTATGTTGCTTTTATTATATTGCTTCATACCCATACTATCGCTCGCAGGACTAGCTGGCCGCTCTGCACCCCTTATTTCTCTTACAATCTCCTCGTCTTGTACATTAAGTCGTAATCCGGCAACTCCTTTTCTTGGAACATTATATAAATCTCTTTTAATCCTTCTTCGTCTAGAAGGATCATTTCTGCGCAATTGAAACATTGAACCAAAATCAGCGATGTAAAGGAATCCTGCTATCAGTAACTCGCAAGTCCTTTTTCCTTGTTTATATGCCGTTTCTAATTCGTTACTTGTACGTTGATCATATTGCCACCAACCTGTAAGAATTTGTTTATAAAAGAGTGAAGTATGTTCTATATTATAATAAAATATCATTTGCAAATAAATAAAAAAATATTAGAAAAATTGAAGAAAAATTAAGGAAAAAATACAAAAGAAAGAAATGTTAATTGCCAAATATAATTTTATTAATAAAATAAGTCTAACTCAGATAATACATTATATAGCAAGTATCTCTTCAATATTAATTGTTATTTAATTAATTCTTTTGTATAACGTACTTTTAAAATTAATGCATTTACATTTTTTCACAGAAGTATTATATGTGGTATTGTTCATACTTATGGAATGCTTTGTTGTAATTGTAATAATCATGCGCTATATAGCTTTTGTAAAATGATAAATGAATAAATGTAGTTCAATGTAATATTGAAATTTAAAAATAAAATAGATTTTATTTTAATTAAATTGGATAAATATATGTTGCAAGTATTATCGTACACCCGAGACACCCTTGCATGGGGCACTTTTTTCGTCACGTTTAATATTACGTTTGTAACGTGGATTGTTCTTTCTATATTGACATTTATTTTCAAAGTCAATTATGTAAAGCATTCCACAGATCAAAAGTTCGCATCGCGCATTCCCTAGCTTGTAAATAGTCTCCAGATCATTGCTTGTCCTTGGATCATATTTCCACCAACCTAAGGAGGGGTAGGATATCAACTTACAGTGCACCCACATATAAATAGTTTAAAAGCATTTCCAAGCTATTGCAAATTTGTAATATGTCATACACATAAATGTAATGTTGAAAGTGATCTCCATAAGCATTTACTATTAAAAGATGTGCATTTTAAAGAACAAAATGTAATCTAAAATAATACTTTACCATTTCGACCTTCGTAAAACCAATGATATTCTTCTTCCGAATGTTCCAACTCCTTCTGAGACTCTTCAACTTCTACCAGTTGAGGTTTCTCAAGGAAATCTGGTGGAATCTCTTGGCGACACATTGGACATCGTTTGCTCTGATTAGCAACACCCTTTACACATAGATAGCAGTAAATATGACTGCAGGGTAATCTTGCAGGGTGAATGCAAGGCTGGAGACACACTGCACATTCTGGTACAACGGTAGGACCTAGTAGAGCGATATACAGAGTTATAGACTTCCAATCTTTCATATATATGAAGATTAATTTAAAAGAGATTTACAAGAATAAATTATCTTTTAATTAAATTATATTTTGAATATAAATACAAATAAAAATCTAATGCTGCTACAATATAATACATAATAAGCGAAAGTATATTTCAAAGTATATTTTAGAAGTGTATTCCACAATGATTGAGTATGATTCATGATTGAGTATAATAATCGAAAATAAAAATTTGTACCTTCCTTTTCTTCGGCATCTTTATCCCTTTCCTTAATGGTGCTGCCAGATCTCTCCGCCTGTGCCATCGCGTGATCGAAAAGATTAAAGACGCCTCATCGATGTAACCAAGCTTTATCGTCTAATTTGTAAATACCAGCACGCGTCCTTTGTCAACATTCACGACTCGCGATGGTCGGCCATATTGCTTGTTTATCATGTGTCCGGGATTCTCAACCTCAATCATGCTGTTCCTTCACGTTTAGAAATGTTTTTTTCCGCCATTTTTATCGTTAGAATACAAATGTAATTGCTATTCTCGTAATCGTGAAATTGTAAAAGCTGTAGGGTTGCTATAAGTTTAATCGCGTGCAGTGAAATACGTGTAATATAATTTCGTTTTCAAAACTTAGAAATCAATGATATATTAGTATGTAGGAATTTCGTAAAGTGTTCAACTTGCCGTCTTGACAAGTATGAATGGTACATATATAGGTTATCTATACATTATAAAAATAATTATTTAGAATCTTTAACATAATAATAGCAATAGGATAATATTTTTTTCCGAGATAAAGAATAATTATAACAAACGTTATTTAAATCATACATGCGTATTAATTTTTTATATATCGTAATATAAAATAGTAAATTATATTTTAAATTTGCAATTAAAAGTAAAATATCTCAGAAACTATAGGTTTTAGGGAAAAATATCAAAAAAGAAAGAAATGTTTGTTTGATTTCAATTAACTTTAAACTATAATATGGGAATTTTATTTAAAAAAACCAAAATAGACCTCGACCTAACTTTATTATAACCTTTACTTCAGATTAAACCAAGGTCGACATTTCACATCTCCTTGAAAATTTAAGACTTATTTAAAACATTTTTTTGCAAAACTATATTTTTGAAATATTTGTCTACTAAAATTAAAATAAATCACCCAATATTGTTTCAAATAATCTTTTTCTCTGTAATCATGAATAGAATTTTAAACAATTAATCTTTTCTTTTTGCCAACAGTTTCTCAAGAAGCTTGCTTTACTTGTGCAGAAGGCTTTCAAAATTTAAGTCGACGAAATCTTTAATTAAACCTGCAATGACACAGAAGGTGACGGCGTGTAAAAGGTATGTTCATTAATTAATAGAAATAAGAAATATAGATTCTATGTGTATATTCAAAAACTTTTTATTCATACTGGTTATTGAATATCACATTCTATCGCACATGAAGCAGTTTCTTTCTGTCATCGTGACGATGCTTCTTTATTCTATCTTTATCTTTGTTATATTGTACATACGTACAAGGCAGTCATACACGGTAATTTACAAATACATGTCTACTACGACATTGCACAAAAAATCGATTAAACCTTGACTAGGATAAAGAATTAAAGGTCGTGACTCAGTTGGAATTTTATCCGCTATATTAATTTTTAAACAGAGCAGTACTCATTAAAATCCTAAGAATAAAAAAATAGTTATATATTTTTTTTGGAAAAAGAAGATTAGAAAAATTATTTTATAAGCTTGTTTTTTGCAAGAATAATAATGAGAACAAAAGTTATTCTTTACAAGCATTTTTATGAGGTTGCATTAAAATGTTAAATTTAAGTAGTTTCTTACCAGCAGTATATTAAAAGATATTGAGTTCGTATAATTACTAATTGCTATAACGTATATTATCCAGATAGCCAACGTTGACAGACTGATGAAATTTAAGCAAATTTGTTGTCAATCTGTCAACATTGCTAATACTTGGCTACCTGAGTAATACATGTTACAGTATAATTAATAATTATAACAAATTTAATATCTTTTTTTGCAGTTGGTAAGAAACTGTTCAAATTTATCATTTTAATGCAAACTCATAAAATGTTGACAGATTATTACCAACTTGATGAAATTTAAGAAAATTTACTGTCAATCTGCAAATATTGTCAACATTTTGTTTACTGAATTAAGCTCGTTATCACACTTTGAAATGTTATCAACTACTAATGATAACATTTGTCATATTGTTATGGATAAAACTTACCGATTGTGATTGATCCATGCAATTTTTTCTTGATTTTAATTATAACTTTTATTTAATTATAACTTGAGGTGAACTATTAACACGAGCCTTTCGAAAAGCGGATGATTCCATAATAAGATAAATTAAAATCGGAAAATGCCAAATATGTTAAGTGCTTAAAAATTATTTTTGATATTAATTAAATTTATACATCTGAAACAGATATCTTACGTATTTTTAAATTGCACTTACTGGAGCAAATAATTAACTAAGTTTCTCAGAAGGTAGAAATTCAAAATATATCTTAGTTTTGCATATTTTTAGTATATTTTAGACTTGTTATTTGGATAATCTGGCACTTAGTTTATTTGACATCATAGTATACTTTTATAAATTTGTCATAAGTGATATTCATATTAATTTGGCGCTCAACATTTTTGAGATTTTCTGCTCTTAATCAGAGAAAGTAATATCGTTTTTGCGAACGTTTGCGATGGTCCCTCTTAGAGCAAAGTATAGACGATTCGCGATCAATCCAACGACAATACCGATTCAACAGATTTATTTCTCGGTGGCAATATTGGACCACCGAGATAACTTAGTGGATTACTGAAAGTCCGTAGGCCATCCGGCAAGATGATAGGAGACAGATTGAAGAATATCGGTTTTCTTGACGCTAAAATAAAATTGTTTTTATAATTAACATTACCTGATCATAGAAATTAGTGAGGAAATATAAGAGTCGAAATTGTTGAAAAGCAATTACAATGTTTTTTGATTAATATCTTTCGGCATTCATAATTATTTAAGTAACATATGATTATTTTATAATTATTTTTGCTAAGAGAAATTATTAGCAATATAAGAACTTGTATATCTTTTCAGATTGTGGATTATTAATGGAAATTATTCTATATTTTAAAATTTATTATGCTATTAGATTAAACGCTTGAGGAAAATTTTTTTGCATTTATATTACAAACCTAAAAAATTTCCTTGCGTTTTTGATTGTCTCCAATTGTCTTGGTCCGCAGGCGCCTAAATAGAGCGAAGGTTTGGTTTTTAAAGTTCTCTCGCGTGATATATCTACGTGATATATCATAACGGTAAAATAAAAGATGCACTTCTGGTTAGTACATATATTGAACAATGTGCTTAGACACTTTCAAACAGGCTTGCCTCACAAAGTGGCCTCACTCAGAGACTTCTGTAGCTCAAAGCGTGCATGCAATGAAGTGAATGTTTCCCTCATGCTGGAAACAAAGCTATGTCGATTTTAATCAATTCCACTCGATTGGTGCATTCGTGCACATTCACGAGAACAAGTTGCATCAATATTTCCTCATGGTAGGATATTCATAGATCGATAGCAGGATATTCTTCGATGATTAACTTAATTTGGGAATATTGGTATAATTTACGCCAGACATTGGTATATTGATTTCGATTTTATAAACTAAATATGATTATGGTTATTTATATTGATAAATTTGTGGTGATAAAGGCACAACGATTATACATACCTCTCTGCAACATCCAAAACTCAACTTATAAAATATTATATAGGTTTCATCTCCGAGATTATTTCTCGATTTATATACTTTAGAGATCGTTTAAAATTTAATAAATTTCAATAAATTTTTATACTTTTTTTTAATTAATAAAACCATTAAATTATTATCAGCATATCATGCTGCACATGCTTGCCTTTATAATGAAATAAGGAGCAATTATAGTAAAATTATATAAAATGCGCTGGCCAGAGTATAATGTTTTGTAAATGGCGTTTAAATCTGTCAAATTGTACGATTATTCCCGAATTGAGAAACTGTCGTAAGAAAAGATGACGAATTTGCAAGAAGATGCTTGGCAGTAGGAGCGGCATGAGAGATGGTTGCAACGATGTAACAAACACGAATCAATGGAAAAACTTGTATATTTTCTTTGTCACTTCGTGCGTATATAACATACTATAAAACGTCTCATGAGACTCACGGGTTAATGTCCTAGCGGCTAATTATTTTAAAAGAATATAAATCTTTTCGTCATTCCGTATGGGATGCATCGTCACGTTTATATCGTGCAAGCAATACATTCGATCACGCAACGCATGACTTTCATTCGCCAGCTATGTTATTATGAACTATTAAACAAAAATATTACGGTAAATAAAATTGCAGTAACACGATGATAATTGTAATAACAATTTCCAAAAATTAAAATAGCGAAATGTAAAATAGTAATTGACTTTTTGGGATGATAAAGTATTATGTCTAATTTTGATCATCTAACTATCTATATGCAACAAAGTACATTATATATATATATATTTAAGTTCTTTACATATAAATAATGATTTTTTATTTAAATTTAATTATGAGATAGTGACAATAATATTAATAACGAAAATAATTCTCAATTCATAATAACATTGTCATAAGTAACTTCCTGTTAATTGCATCCGGGGAAGCAGATTTAGATGCATCGTATCGTGAATAATTAATTGCATCCCGCGGTCAGGAAAAGAATCAGAGACTGCAGAGACCAGGTTAAGATGCGATTGTCGCGTTAACATTCGTAACAGATTATTATCGACGTCCGTACCTCTATAGTTTGCACGGTATTTTCGTTTCGTCAGGTTTTATAATGGAGTCTAACGGTATAACGCTCTCCTCGACACTCGTTCTAGATGACCAATTCTTGTGCTGAAAATATGGCACCTCGTATTAAAATCTGACGAATAGATCAGGCTTGATATTCTCGGATGACTTGGGCTTTCACGGTATGTGAATTTTGTGAGTTTGATAGCATGATTATTTTGATCGCCACCAAAAGCACATAAACGCCACACACTCTACAATTGCGCGAAGCAGCGAAATCAAACTAAAATAAGGCTTGCAAGTGTACACACAAAGCAAACTATACAATTATCATATATATTGCGTATTGAAAATAAACTTATGTTTCGAAAAATTTGTAATTTGCAATATTCAAAATAATTTTATCGATAAGTGAATAGTTTGTTTGGCGTACACTGTAAGCTTAAATGGTAATAACATTAATCTATGCTATGGTGATCTTTTTTTAGTTAATTGCGTGGCGTCAGATACAGTGGTGTCGTAAAATACATGGGTGACTTTAATCGATAAAATATGTCTTATTTTAATTTTCTTTTTTAATAAAACTACGTGGTTTGTATCTTAAGATAACGATTTGCATCATCTTATCTCGAAGTATAGTTTCTTATCATTTTATCTCGTTGTAAATTTATTTTTAAATACTACTTTCATCGTTATCCTTGAGTTGTTACAAGGCATTAGAATCTTAAAATAATATTTCACTCGAGCTAAGTACGTATGGCTTTTTTTGTAACTAATCAATACTGGAAAAATACTGACGACAACACATGCTACATAATAAGAAACGCAAACAGGTGCTCGACTATAAGCTAACTTTAAATACATTATGCGAACGTCTTTTTCTCTCCGAATGCGGCCACTACGAGCCAAACTTTGAAACAACCGTCTATTTTCGTAAAGAATTCATAAAATTAAATAGGAAAAGCATTGTAAAGTACAGATAAAATATTAGTAATGACTGCAACGATACGCATTAAACAATACGCGGCGATTCCGAAGCAATTTATTGAATCTGCATCGATTAATCATCAGTTATTGTTACAATGACACGTGTTATTACGCTGCACTATTTTGTTTCTTAATCATAAATTTTATTTTCACGACAAACTGTGATTTTTAGTAGTTATAAGTTTAGCAGTTATGGGTGCCTAAGTTATATATTTTAGAAAATGATTAAGTACTACAAATGCCGAATTCATAAATGTGTTTTAATGAAATGTTAGAAATTCCGGATTAAACTTCTGTAGCAGTTGGTTAGGCAGTTATATTTCAGCGATTCTGTTATGCTCGAATTGCGATTATATCACATTGGCTTACATGTACATATTATCTATATGATTGTCGTTTAAGAACGTTCGTTCCATGAAACGGTATTCACAATCGTCGAAACGCGGTGACTTTTGAATGTAATTAATTATTGTCGTCAGTCGATTTGATTACTGAGTGCGTAACGTGGACGCGAGGCTGACGTAGCCTCTACCTCGAGACTGATGATTCACATCGTTATCATCGATCAACTTCGCCGTGACCTTCTCGGGCCGAGTTGCTCCGCGAAGTTTTCTGAACTTAATCGGCGCGTTTAAATCGAGACTCATCGGCCTTTTCGGCATGGTGTTATTCTTATCGTTAGCTTTCGTGGTGTTATTCACTCTGGGAATTATACGCTCGGTTTTGATCTCATTCAGACCCGTCACGGAGAAGTTTGTCTCGAGGAGGCCCCGCGTGTCGTCTGGGTCCAATTCGTCGGTCAAGGAAACTCTCCTTGCCGTCTTGTTTCTTACCGGCCTAAGCAGAAGCTCGTCATCTTGTTCGTTGCTCTCATTCTTTTCCTCTTCTTCTTTATTCTCGTCCACCTCTGGCTCTTTCGTGTTTTCCTCCTTTTCTTTTTCCTCCTCTTCTTCTTCCACCTCTTTCTCCTCGCGCTCTTCCAGCTCAGGCTCTTCTTGCAGATCTTCCATCGACTGTTGGAGAAAAATAAAAAAAAATTACTCGGCGATTTCTTGAATTAGGACGATATGCAAAATATTGTGCTATGTTTGTTTCGGCAAAGCGCGAATGTGTGAACATGAAAATTGTCTTTGAGAATTTGGATTGAAAGTGACAATGGAAGTTTGAAGGTACTATTATCTCGATCAAATACTTGTATGTATTTCTTCGTAACGCTATGTGCTTATTGATAGATCTAGTGCAAATTGTGATGTCGGATGCAAGTCGATGTACTTTGCGGGAGAATTCGATCGATGTATTTTCTCCCTATGCGTTCAATAATTCTGCAGAAATGCATTGCATAACATGAATGAATGTTTGTAACATGTCCAACGCGTGAATTCCATAAATACATGCAAAAGCCTTCTTGTAAGCCTGGCAAAGCTTAATATATGCAGTCTTTTTGAAGAAAAAAAAGAAAAAATCTTTACGAATGGATTCGGTTTCGCAGCTTTAGTGACGATGCCTGTATTTACCCCTAGGAGCTCCTTTTTCTCTGGTTCTTCGTCTGCTGCAATGTACAGAAAAATATACATATTAAATTACAGTTTAATATACAATAAAATATATAGTTGCCTATTTTTGTGGACAATTATATACAAATATACATATAAAATTAAGAAAAGTTCTATTTCATAGTATCAACTTTCTCTCACTTCCATCTACAAATAGAAATAGATTAGAGTACCTTTTATGTGAACTTTCTTGTCGTTTATTAAGTCCTTGGGATCCGTGTTTGGCAACGGTTTATATTCTTTGGCACTTGGTACTTTCACATGAGTGCCGTTTGGCCTTTTGTCATCGTCCACGTTCTTGAAACCAACCGTTTTCACGTTAGAGCCGGTCACTAAGGATTCCGTGTACTGTTGTGATTGCCACCGCTGCGAGCCGGAAGCGACCGCGGCAGTCGTCGACGCTGCGGATGCCGCACTGCGACGTCGTTGGCGATCCTTGCGTGCGCTTCGCCACACTTCGTAAATGCACCCGATCACCGCGGCCACGAAAACGCAGCACAAAGCTATGAAAATGTATGTTCCTGCCCCTTGCTCCTCCTGCGTGGCGCCTGAATACTGCGAGGTGTACACATTTCTCTCCGGCGGGTCCTCGACCCATGCCTTGTCACGACCCTTAAACGAAATATTCGAGTATTCGACATCCGTCGTTTTTATCGTTGTTATATCGGTATCAATAATGTTGAAAGGGATGCTTTTTAGAGGCTCAAAAATTTTAATTTGATTAATTAATATATTAAAACATATGTAATTAGACATGACAATCTAAGATTTAGTTAATTTTTGAAACAACTTTCAATTTTATTCAGTTCAATGAAGCCTTATCGAAGTCTTGCAATAAGTTACTTAGTAAAATACTATCGTTTAGAGATTGCAAATTATTTTAAATTTATCAAAGATGTGCTACTTTCTATTTAAATTTTTATACTTATTTGTTGCCGAAGAATTGTGCAATATAAAATGAAGATCGCTATTTAATGAAGGGTTTAATTTCCAAAAATCTCACCACGCTATCGTTTCTGGGCGGTTCAGGACCGCCAGATTGAGCATGAAAGACCGCGCATTGGGCACTTCTAACGCCAGCGGGTATCGTCGCGCGGACGGTCTCGCTGCCTTGTTTCGTAAAGAGCATATATTCTTCCAACGGCTTCATGCCGGCACCTTCATTGATCGATATTACAACATCTGCAAGAAAAGCCATAAATTTTTAATGTGGCTGTTTGTTTTATCTATCAGAGGAACGTATCTAATTAAATAGATAGCAAAACGTCTGAACACACGGTAATAAAAACTCGGTGGTAAACATGAAAAGATTTAAAGGAACACTTACTGCTCAGACAACCAGTGTATCCTTTGTAGGCGCTGAATCGCGGATCGGTGGTGTTCAATCCACCAAGCTGAATCTCCGTAGCGCCCAGACTTTCGTCTTCGTCCGCTGGAATCGGCGCTCCGAGCGGAATTGGTAGCAATTGGACGAGTTCGCGGTCGATCTAAAATTACAGGATTATAAATAATTTATATAGTGCATAGAAATTCGAAAAAGAAGGAAATTATAACTGACCAAAAGAGTAGCCGTATTATTGTCGCGAACATAATAGACGCTGTGACGTGCACCGTTCAGGAAGTTCCGATCGATCAAACGCACGCCGTAAGCTGCTGCACCGTCCCTATCCTCCTCGAAGATAAGATGTCCCTCGGATGTTAAGGCCACCAGTAAATAATAGCTCCTTCTGGAAAAAGCAAATTTCGAAAGATATTCAGAACTCCAGGCATGATCAAGCAACACGCATAAGTAAATATGTATTAAGAGCGATGCTTTACTTGTTGTCGGTTTGTATCAGCAGCAACGCGGTGGTTCGCTGTCGCAACTCGTTTGCCGAGAACGCCAGCTGAACCTTCACCTGGTTCACCTCGCCCTCGAGCTCGAATTCGCGCTGAAGTATACTCTCTCCGCTGAAGTCGGCGCCTTTTTCTGCGCGAAGTAATTTGGAGAAATATATTAGAAAAATCTTTCACGTATCGTGATTAGTTCCGTATAGATTCTTTTTCATAGAAATATTCTGGAGGCACTAATAGGTCTTAAAATTTAAAAAACATAATTTTTTAATTTTGCAATGTTTAAATCTTTTGCAATCTTTGGATATTACGGTTTTTCAAATGGTAACAATTTATTTTTTCTAACACAAGTAACTTCAAAAAAGCTCACCGTCGGCACAATGTTCGCCAAAATAGGACGTTAGCTCGCAGTTGCAGGAGGACTCCTGCCTGCCAAAATCTTCCGTGCAGATTCCTAAATTCTTGCAGGGCATCGCGTCACATTTCATTTGACAATTCGGTAGAACTCCAAGAACTTTGCTGCCTTCGCGATTCGCTTCGCTAGCCAAATTCGGCAGATCAACGAGATACTTGCCGATCATAAGCCCTCGCAAGCAACCAACGTAACCGTGAATTAAGGCTCCTTCCTTGCCGACTCTCAACAGATTATCAGGATCAAATCCTCCTAAATTTACCTAAATTAATATTTATATTAATTATGTTAAAAATATATTAACAAATATTGCAGGAAACTTATTGCATTATAAAGATCTAAAGATTAAAAGATGTCAGGATGTCTTTAGACATTTTTGATACATTTTTGTAGATTTTAGTTCGGCAGTTTAGTTGAAAGCAAAAGATCAATATCTTCTTAAAAACGAACTTGGAAATAATCGGTGGGGGGTGCCGGTGGCCGTTGCGGCGCTAAAACTTCTTTCTCTGGATTCGTCCACGGCTTGTTCGAATACGTTTCCAGAAGTATGGGTGTTGCGTTTAATGTGACATTATATTCGTTCACGTGTAGCGTGGTCCAATTCTCGCCTCGAATTATAGCGATTTGCATCGAGATTCCCGTGTTGACATCTGAGAAAAACAAATTGATATGTTTTTTAATATGTACGTCGCACACGTGTTTGTTCTCACGATAAGGATTCTCACGTACTTGGATTTACTACTGTGATGTTCTTAATCTCATTGCCAGCGTTGAAGAGATACACGATGTTGGTACCGTTGGAGATGTAGAGATGCACGAAGTTATTTAAATGATCATTCGCGTAAAGTATTAGAGAATGAGTATCGTAGGTTCTTAAGTTAATCAAAATATTCTCCTGCAGCATGCTTTTCAGTTGTAGCCTTTCCTCGTTATCGTCCGATCCGAAGTAGTTTTTCTTCAAGAACGCTTCGGGTGAAGTAAATGTGAGGGCTTTATTATTGATATCTGCATTGGAAAATAACATTATAAACATGATTTTCAACGATAATTGCACCAAAAGTTGAAGAGTTTACTTCCAATCAGTTTTTACATCCATATTTAAAAAAATAAAAAGCTATGGAAAACTTTAATCTCCACTTTTTTTTTTAAATACGGATTTAAGACGGCTTGAAAGTAAGCTCTTCAAGTAACTGAATAAGATTACGCGTTTACTTGTTTCGCAATAAGTGCCCAAGTGCGCCCATTTATTCTCGCACACGCATTCGAAGTTGCTCCACAGCTCGACGCACCTGGCGCCGTTCTCGCACTTATTAGGTTGACACGAAGGCTTGCAGTCCTTGATAATTTCCGACAGATGCACCGACATATAACTGTGGATATCTAATATTTCTCCGTTGACAACGAGACCGCGAAAACAACCGATGAGACCTTGTCGAACGGAAGAAGCTTTCAAGTGCTCTCTAAAAGTGTCGTTAAATAAAATCAAGATTCGAAATCAAAATCAATTATCTGTCGTAGTAAATGAGTTTCTTCCGTGAAACTAATTATTTATTTCGTGAAAATAACTCACGCGGTAGCGCCACCGATGAACATAGATCCTTCGAAAGGCCCGAACTCCTCTTCGGGCAACAAATCTATCATTTGGAAGTCGGTATTGATCATGAATCTCACGTGATAGTCGTTGTAGTCGATCCAAATCTTCTGCCACTCGCCATTATTCAACTTGCGCCGACTTTTCACCTCTAGTTCGCGAACCTTACCGGTATTCAGAGTGAAATGGAAGGTCAATCGATATTCGGATGTTAATGCAACCATGAAGGAAGGATAGTTGCTTCGAATCGGTGGCTGATACAGAAGAATAGCCTTCTCGCCGGTTGTTCGGAAGCTGAAGGCTATGTCACCTTTTCTCCAACCCGGCACTTCGATGTACGATTGCGATGTCGTAAACGTTACCACGTACTTCTGTGTGTCTAGAAAGCATTATTAACGGAATCTATAAATCTGTTGTAGAAAGATTCCAAAGATCTTTGCGTACAAAAGAGCAAAATAGTATTATTCAAAATAATTGCTCCAAAAATATCTATTAGTTTTGTCGTTTAACTCTGTGAATAAGTTATGTTAAATAAATCAAAGGCAGTTTCTATTTGAAAATCAATGGAATTACAGTCTATTAAGCGAGATAACTGTTCTTTCTCAAGGCTCGTACTTGTTTCAACGCATTCTAGTGGCCCTAAGGTAATACGTCCTCGAGCATCTTCTTCGAGGTCTCTCTGTTGCAAAAACACCATTCCGATGATGCCTAATGAATCAGGTGTTTCGTAATATCCTTCGTCCGACAACCATTTTCCCGCATTTCCGGCGGACACGTCGCAATTACAGCTCAAGTTGGAGTGCACGCATGTTCTGTTCACTAAAGTGAAATTAATAAATAATATTTTTTTTTGCAAGGCACGATTAAATTTTCGCAAATGCAGGTTGTTGAAAATTTATAAATTGCATTTTGCGAATTTATTTGAAAAAGAACTTACTTCCGCAAGGGCAGGATCCGCGATTGACTTCTCCGATGTAATCGACAGTGGTGCCTTTAGAGGACTGGAACCACGTGGCACTGTGCAACTCCAAAGGTGCCTTGTAACAGTCGTATTTTACGTATTGACTACAATAAAGCGAATGCGAGATCAACTCCTGAAGCATCTCAGCGCTGAACTGCCTATACTTGATGCTGAAAGTAAAGTCGCTCTCGATGATGGATCTGACATCCACTTGGGAGGGTAAATTGTGTTCGACGATCGTTTTGGTCGAATCTTCGATCGATTGAAATTCGCACTTTACTAAGGCGGGCGGAAATCGGCCATTTCCATCGATGTCGATTTTGTAAACATCATCTTGCGTATATCCCAGAAGAGCCAATTCCTCGCAGGTCTTTCGGTATTGTGCTAAATGTAAAATTGCATATTGAATTTAAATTATAATAATATAAATGAATACGCTGATTATCAAGTACTTTTTCTTATTTATTATTATATTATTTATTAAAATAATAGAACAATTTTTTGAAACGAGATTCTTATTATTTTACGACATGTATATTAAAAAGTAAAGTCACAGCGTACTGTAACCAATTTAAAAGTTATGCAGTTAATTAATAAATTTAAGAATTCTTAAAAGCATTAAACTAATAAATATGTATTTAGGGAAAAATTTTATAAAATACATAGAAACAGATTATCTATGAAATATATTTCTAAATTTTTTATTTTAAATACTGATATTAAATCAATTTTGGATATATACATGAATTATCGCGAACACAATTTATCTTACCAAAGTGGCAATTTTGTCCCATATATCCCGTGTCTGCGCAATCGCACGTGATTCTGTCTTCTTTCACCGAGCATTTACCACCGTGTTCGCAGGTGTTCGGCCTCTTGCATGGATCCACAAATTGACAATTGTCTAAAGCGACTTCTCCGATTACTCTCTCGGTGTTAATCACATATCTAGGTTCGATTCTTTGATTGTTCACTTGTATCTCACGCATACATCCTACTAAACCTAAATTATCAAGATCAGAATCTTCGTATTAGATTCATTTGAATTTATAATAATTATTCAGACTTAACATCAAACGTTTAACTTACCTGCGTTGCTTTTACCACTTCCTATAATGACTTTATCACCCAGCTCGAACGTCATAGTGCCGAAGTGCTTGCTCTGCTTATTTTTATAGTCGAGCACGAGGTTGAGCTCGTCCTTTGTATAATTAAGCTCGATTGCGTGCCAGGAGGTATTGTAAGGTGGAAATTTTACGGAAGCTGACACCGTAATGTTTTCCGTTACGACTGGTATCAATTGGAAACGAATTTCATCATTGACTTGACGTAGCTACAAGAATACGGAAAAAATACAAATTATTAATAGATCGAGTAAGCGCAAGAGCATGTGAAAAAGAAGTAATAAAGGATAGAGCAGTAAAATACCTCCCAGTAGCCAATACCACGATTGCTCTTCACGTTTCCCGAAGCGACTACTGCAATCGGCTTTGAACTCTTGAAATCGAATTTTAAATTCAGCGAATCGGTGCGCTCGATGGGCCACCAGATGTGACTTCCTGCGAAGGGATAAGTGATCGGAATGACTTCGACGTCGGCTTCGTAGTATTCGGGCTCCAGCACGCCAATATAGTGCACCATGGGATTGGAGCGTTTTAGTTCGTATATAATTGACTTGTCGTTAAAGAATACATATTTTAAGGAACCTGAAAAAAGAAAAAGAAAATTGAGCGACGAAATTTAGAGATTAATAATTGGTGCCAGGTGTTTTCGATAATTTCGTCAAACCTGCAAAATTATTGTGCGAGAGAAGGCCCTTTTTCTTTTGGAGCTCTGGGCCACCGCCGATGTATATCTCCGGATCGATAATCATATTGTAATTTTCTCCAGGTATTTCTAGCACCTTCACATCATCGTCTAAACTGACGAAGACTAGGGATCCGTTGTGAAATATAGTCAAGTTATTCCAATGATCAGACGTGACGTAATCGCCCAGCATAGTAGAGATCTTTGAATTATGCCCAAAATCGAGCTCAACGTAAACCGATCCGTTTATAATGCAAGCTGCGACGTAATGTGGTGTCCCGTCAATTTCGCCGGAAGCATAAAACAGGACGGAATCATCCCATTTTGTCTGAAAAAATTTGTCGCTCGATAATTCAATTGTGTAGACACAATAACTTGCTGTGACATAATTCGAAAAGTGAACCCAATATTCTTTTAAAGAATATTTACAATGAATTTTTCATAGAAATTGGTTAGCAGGTAAAAATAATTGTTTATAAAAGTATCAAGCGTGTTCTTTATGATTTTGTCGAAAAGATACGCCTAGCTATAACGAATCAATGAATCTGCGACGGGAAAGAGAGACGCGACTTGCTACAATAAAGCATCTGTAGTTAAATACCTTGAAAGCAAGACTGATCCTGTTGACAGATGAGTGAACACGATCCTTCCAATCATACACGCGAAAGGACACGTATGAGGAACCTCTCAGCGTTAGTATCGTCGCGGCTGAAAAATAATGTTACATTTTGAACTCCATTATTTTTATATTGGAATATCCGTAGATGCACGAAAAAATTTTATTTCTTCTTCGGTTGTTTAATGCAGTTTATCGTTGTTATATATAATTAAATTTTTGTGATAGCTACTTATCGTATAATTCGAATTTTTCAGAAACAAAATTTTTTCCTCCTTTTATTGCTTTAACATTAATTGTAAAAAATATTTATTTAATATTTATCACGAATTAAATTTTAGAAAGATAGATAATTATTTAAAGTATAAAAAAAATGAGTGAAATATATCTTTTAGCAAAAAATAAATCCAATTATTTTACGTACTGTACACGTCGCAACGTTCACCCTCGTACTTCGTTCCGAAGCAGTCACACGTCAGACTATTATAGTGATTCACACATTGATTAGGGACGAAGCACAAATTTTCTCGTGTTCTGCATCTAAATAACAAAATAAGAAAAAGTTAAGTATTTGCATTATCGATTACTTCGCAGACTTTGTCTGCGAAATAAACAAACGTACTTATCGATACAGCCTTCCTTAACATTCTCGTGTTTGGTCGCGATTAGCGGTCGAATAGGTAGCAAATCGCTGGCAGATTTTCCGGAACTCAGAACCATATCTCTGATGCAACCGACGAAGGACTCGATTATATATTTCACGCCGTGCAATCGTTCTTCGGAACTCAATCCTGACAAAACAGAGATAAGATGATGAAGATGCGCAGAAATTGTTTATTGGTTTCGCAAATACTTTTCTCACCTCCGATAAGAACGACTGAGGCTAATTCCTCGGATACTCCATAATTTATGACGCGTTCCAGGACTTTTAGAGTGGTCTCACCCTGTTTATCGTCGACTCTAGCAATCAATTTTGCTCCATGCACATCGATCCTCACGAGAACGCTATGCCATTCGTCCCTGTTAAGCCCTTCGCCGACTGTCAAACTAGTTGATTGCTTGCCAAATACATGAACTACCTTTAGCTGACCCTTTTCCACTATCACGTAAAGAGCGTAAGGATCGAGGCTTTCCGGACGATCTTTCACGCTGTGATAAACTAGCAAGCCGTGTGGGAGTTTTGTGCGAAATTTGAAAGATATCTCGCGGCATAATCTGTCAGAAAATATTAAAAAGAATATACGTATTATAATATGCAAAATGTCTCAAAACTTGCAGATGTCTTTTAATGACAAATTTTCAAGATCATGTCGTTATTTGTGACTTGAAAAATCATTATTTATCTTTATAATTTTCAATATTACATATGTTTTTAAGATTAATTTTTATTTATTTATAAAGAGTAAAAAGATATCGGCCGCGGTTTTAAGATGCCGCGTATTTTGTTTTATGAATTAAAAGTTAACATTAAAAGTTAACAAATAATTAAATTATTATCTTTACACCTCAGCTGAAAGGTTTTGATGCCAGGGCCATCGAGCTGGATGAAAGTATTGCTTTGTGCGAACATAAACGTCTTCTCGTAGCCAGTTTCCATGAAAGTTAATTCCTACGGTAAAATGATATGATAAGAATAATTTTATTGGTTTGCACAAAACGCGTGAGCTGACATTGATAGCTTTACTTTTCCTCGTTGATGCTTCGGTACCGGCGGCTTTGTCGGTTCCGGTGGTTTGAAGGTCGGTCGTGAAGTGCTGGAAGTCGTGGGAGGTGGAGTGCTGGTTGTCGTGGTGCTCGATGTGACAAATACGCTGCCTTTCGTCACAAGATAAGGCGGTAGCGTATCTAAAAATAATTAATAGAAAATTATTTTATAATTATTTTTAATTTCCGTTGATTTTTATTTGCAGTTAAGTAAAATTTTAATTGGCAGATATTTTAATTTTTAGTTTCCAGACATTTATCAGCTTGTTTTTAATTTCAAATTTCTTAAATTTGTTAGATTTTTTTCTATATTTTTATTATTAACAATAGAAAATGATTTCTCACAATTGTTAATTTATAACAAATTTTTGGAACATCTTACGATCAGCACCGCCGATACAGTAATGAAGGCATTCGGCTTCTGAGTTAAATCGATTTTCATTTCCTGCACAACCGCCGTACGGAAAGGTTCGACATTTTCCTTCCGCTTTGTTGAAGGTCCACTTGTGTACGAACTGCTTGCAGGGTCCCGGTTCCGTTTTGACAAGACACCTGTCCGGTAGAATCCTTTTCGTCGTAGTAAAAACTTCCGTTTCTTCAATCATGTCTGTTTTTGGCGAATCCGTGCGATTCGCTGGAATTTTTGCGATTACATTGAGCAAGACAAAGATCCCAAGGATCCTCTTGTCGCGATGGATCATCGTTCTTCATTCGCTAAAAGAATAATTCAATTTTCTCGCTGTAAAGATTTTAATAACATTTTATTTAAGCTAGTTGCTTTATACAGGAATGGGTATTAATTCTTATAATATCACTAAATAGTTAAATATATTTGTGTAATTATTAGCAACGCGTGTGCATTTATTAACAATTTTTTAATAATAATGTTAATAAATTACCACTTATCTTTAATTGTTATAACTTCATGAGCCATTTATAATTGAATTTGCAACGACATTTGAATTTAAAAACATATAAGTTGATCGTATTTTTACGAATTTAAAATAATGCGATAGAAAAAAATATTCTATTTACGCGTAAAATTTGGAAAGTTAAAAAATAAATATAATTAGTTTTACATGCGAGTTTTAAATAATTTTAAAAATAAAAGTGCAGAATAGAGTTTTCCGCCTTCTTTACAATATTTTTTTTTTACTTTACAATGCAATCGATCAAATCGGAACCGGCACGAGATTAAGATCAAGTGTGACGCATTTCATGCCTGAATATCACTCGAACTCGGTTCTCGTGCTCAAAAACTATTTAATAATGCGGACCACGTGGATGCCCACGCGCCTTTCCACAAAGGGCTTAATATCACTTGTCCTTCCGGTGCGACTCGATTAAGGCTACCTCCAATACAGACGCATCTTTGCGATAGCGGTTGCTACTTTAGGATTTACGACTTCCCCTCGGCGACGTAGGTACTAGATCGATATGAATGATGCAACGAATTATGTATGCAGCATAACCGGTTAGTTACCGTTATCATTTCTATATGATCTTTCACTTTTCTCCCTTTCAAAGGGATGTCTTCCGGTTACATTTAATTCAGAGGACAGACATATGCTATCGTGCTCCGAATGGATTCTTTTTGTGTGTACACAGAGCGATATACCCGATAATACGCCTTTGATAATAAAGCGTCAACATACGCAAGACAAAATAACGTGTCGACTTACACGTACGATGCCTAATCTAACCGTAAACGTTGTCGTTTCAAAAATCTTCGGAGTATCGTAAGCTTGTACCATTACAAAGAGATAAAAAGGAAGTAAAGGAATATTTTTAATTAATTTAGGAATTTAAAAAGTTCCTTTACTTTTTAGTTTTGCTAGTATTGCTTTTGCGGGGTCAGTTGGGTTTGATCTACGGAAAAAAGATGACCCATGCGTTGCGCTTACCCGACATGAATAATGATCGACCGGTTCTTGCCACCCTGTTGAATATGTTGGTTCTAATGAAACTTTTTCTGCAACGCGCATACCTTGACAAACGCTCTTGGTTTACGATGCTTGCGAATCACACTTTGCATTTATTGCGAATTTTCTTCCCGTCATCGCGATTTATCAAGTCAATACGAAACGCACTTTCAAGGTTGGAACTCTGACATCTAACGAAGCGAGACGCGTGCAACAACTTTGACGAATAAGAGGAAAAAGGAAAAGAGACAATTGACAAATATTGATAATTGAGGAAAAGAATCAAATACAATTATATTGTACATAACGAATAACTGTACTTAAAAAATCCGGAAAAGTGATATTCGTTCTATATTTTCTGTATCTTTATCGCACTATCCTCGCGATGATTAATGTCGAGTTTGTTTCTTTCTCTTACGATGTCTGTTTGCGCTTCGCGGAATGCTTCAATTAAGAAAAAAGTCTATCATACGTCATCTAAAAATTCGTCACAGCGAGGAATCTTGTGCTTATGATCACGAAGAAATTATTAGTTTGCAACAGTATTCAATGGCAAAAGCTTTTAATCACGCGCGATGCTCACAATTTTCTTGTTAAACATAAAAGTGCTCAAAGATATCGAGTTCAATATTTTTTTGAACACAGAGTGTTTACTTTATTGCAATATATTTATCTGTTTAAACAGGCACGATATCCATGCGTGTATCTACATTACCTAAAAAATATATTCTTGCATATTTTTTGTAATTATTAATTACAAACATTATAATTAGTGAAAGAATTTTTATGTTTAATATGATTTATTACAAACACATAAAACAAATAAGGATTTATCTTTCTGCTTATACAATTTGGAAAAATTGTCTCGATAAATATCATTTTAACTGGTTTCTAAATTTGTTGACGATAATATGGATAATGTTAATATACTTTTTTATAAATTAAATATATTCTTTAATATTGTACAAGAATGATGAGTAATTTTATGTTAGCAAGTATTTAGGAACATTCGATGTTTGTCAATTTAATTTCAATCCAATTTTCTGACCAATTTTTGGTTATTAAATTTCGATTATACTTTTGTTCGATTCAATGCCATTATGACTATTTGTCTACTAATGTTGTGCTAGTATTATGTATATATATTGATAAGTGATATCTACATTTTTGATATGTGAATTCACATGTGTATGATATCAATTCGATATCGATCATTTCTGCTTCTTAACTTATTTATAACACTTAATCAACAGCTTTACTATAAATTTATTCGAAAGTAATACAATGATTATAAACGCGATTTCGATCGTGAGGCGATGAATTTATTATTTTGCAATAAATTCATTAATTTTTGAATAATGATTGATGGAGGAAAAATATTGAGATTGCGGTCTATTGCGTTGAACTAGCATTAATCCTTGCCGAAATTTACTTATTTTTTTTATTTTATAGATTGCAGTTTAGAAAAGAAACCTTTAGAATCGAAACTTGAACAATAATACATACATTGTATTATATATTGTTTGGTGCTATGATAAAAATATTTGAAAATTTTTGAAACAAATTACGCAACATATATTGAGTCGTTCGAAAAATTTTCTAGCTTTTTAATTTTATTTTTATTTAAAAAAAATAAAGAATTCTTCAAATATAATCCAATATATTTTAAAAACATATTCCAGTAAATGATTTTAAAAAGACCCCTTGGCCCTGCAAAGATCAGGGTTAATCAGGGTTAATATCAATTCAGTTCTATTTAGCGCAGTGGATCCGAAATCTCGAATTTTTTGGTGGCTATGCAAGCTGAGGAAGGGATGACGGGAACAGCACATGCAAAACTGTCGGTCGACAACTCGGCCCTAGACCCTGATTTCTCACCGAGACAATCTCGAGGCATCATCGTCTCGCCTGTGATGCAAGAGCTCGCGACATTGGTCGAGGGGACAGGGGGCATCCGCTTTATCCGAGCTTTTTAAACTCTTAGGCGGGCCACACGCAGTACGAGTGCACGAATCTGCGTACCTTTCGTGCGCCGTGGTCCAGATGAGATCGCGGCTCGTACAGGCCGCGGGGCAGGATGTGACGTCAGAAGGCCCCCGCCGTGCCGAGCACCGTCCGACGGACTGCGGCTACGAGTCAATTGTCTTCTTTCACACTGACACACTGGCCAAATCCCCGCATCGACACGGCCAGTCACACGTATTCGCACGCATGCATACACGTGGTACACACCGCGCACGCACCGAGGTCTTCCTTCTCCACCACCTCCGCCTCCTTCTCCTCCACCTCCTCCTCCTCTTCGTCCTCTTCCTCCTCCGGACTTTTGCTACTATTGCTGCTGCCGCTGCTGTTGCTTGCAGCAGCAAGTAGACACTAATTTATTAATGCCACTCCGACCACTATACTCTCTGTTACTCATCACGGTTTATTGACTTTCATTGCGATCTCGTCTCGCGCGCCACACTCTAACGTTTCTTCACTCTTTTCCTCCCTATACGACGACAAACCGTCCGCTGCAATCAAGCGTTTTCTCTTCTTTTCCCGCACTTGCAAATGCCGCAGTTGCGTAAGCGCCCGTTCGACCATCAATCATCCCTTGATCGATGTCGATTATCTTCCTTCGCAAAATCTTATTTTTTTAGACGCTCCTTGAACTTCTCCTATAGGGGACGTTTTTATAGCAATCTCGTCTAAGAGCAAGTGCAGTCTTCTGAATGAATATTCGACACCCTGAAACGGAATCAATATTAGCAAATTAGAACGACTGTTATCATTTTTCAACAGAGATAGAAAATGAACTTTAGGACGATCGTAGTATTGAACATGTTGTCTGACGTGATACACTTAAGATATGATCTTCCTCACGCCAAAAGTCTTCTATCTTATGATACGTTATCAAATACTAAAATAGCAATAATTTTTTGTCCCATCAAAGTTTCATAAAAATAACGAAATGCATAGATTACTTCCAATTTTTCTGATAACGAAAGATAGAAATTAATTTATTTTTTAAAGCTGGTTATTACACGAAGCTTTTGGCGATTAATATCGCGAATGTTTTTACAGTGTTTTTACAAGAGTATTGATTCTACTAATAACGATACATAGAATGTTTTGCAAGCAGTTTTTACGCAAGCCATCGGGCAACTGGTATTACGGAAGCTTTTACAGGGTGTTCTCGGGGCAACGCGTGCTTTCCGACGTGAAAAAGAGGTTGAGTTGAATCGATAGGGTGTGTGTTGTAGCAAATAATAGAACACGAGTGTTCGTTTATGAACAACGTGTAACGGGACGTAAATGATAGACAACCGATTATTATTCGAGAGCGTTTTCATCGGCATTGTATTTTGAAAATTGGGCGACTTTTATTTTTTCGTTCAGATGTGTATAGTTTCGGAAGTTTCAATACTCGTTCATTTTGTTTCAACGTTTTTGTCTCTCACAAAGACTCGACGGAAGTCCGTTTGGAGATGTAGAATTGTTCTCATTAAAGACCTCGTATTCTCTGTTTCGCGACTCTTGACATTCGCGGCCTAGCGTGCTCGCCGGAATCGCTCCTCTCGCTCCCTCTCTTATTCTCTCTCTCGCTCTTGTCGTCGGAAGATCGATATATCGAGCAAAACCGACGACTGGGTCATCACAAAATGTTCGCACTTTTGGTTCAGAACAATGGCTTGCAAAAAAGTGCATGCTTTGAGCATGTTAAAAATTTGCCCCAGGCTTTCATTGTTTTATGATAAAAACCTTTTGTGATAAAAAATCAGCGAGACCGTATGAGTGCCCCGTATGAGTGCCCCGTTTGAGCTTCGGTGCTTTAATGTAACTTGAATGAAAATTGATAATGCATAACTGTGCGGACAATATAGTTAGAAGTCTACAAAAATAGATGTTGTCGATCTATAGTCCCTCTCGTTGAAAATAATATTTCTAGTCGTGCTGGTCACGCACGTAGTACAGCAAATGATTCATACCACGTGTCGGGCTTCGTCGTTCATGGGTTCCTATACTGTCGGGCAAAAACGCTTTCGTGTCTTGCGACATGCGACATCGTTGTTTGGCTGAAAGTGACGATTTGCATGAAGGAAGTGGATCATGTAATCACGTAAGAGAATATACAAGGATCGTGAAAGGAATCGTTTAAAGAATAAAGGTAGGGTTGATGACTCAAGTACGTGACTACCTGCCGAAACAGAAAAAGTGATAAAATTTTGCTGCTTTTTGTTAATTTAAAAAAGAATTTTTTTTATTATCTAGAAACAAAAATTAAAAAGAAAAAATCAGTATAAAACTTTAAAATACTTAACGTCGTGTAAATAATAGTGAAAAAGTCCAGTTCTTTTGCTTGAAAAATCAAAACTTGCAAAAAGATGTGTAATATAATAATAAAAAAAATTAAAAGTATTAATTGAATTTGAATTTTGTATGATTGTTTGATCGTATCGCGCTGAAAAGATCTAGTTTATACTTGACGATCGTTTTCGCAGATGCCATCAGCAAAGTATGCTATTATCAGAGAAGTGTCGTCACCTGTGCGTTACGCTTAACATGAGCAAATTGAAATTTAAATGTAAACATAGGTAGGCAGTTGAAACCAGATCTGCGACAATACGAAGAGCGCAATAATTAGCACCACAAGAGAAGCACAAGTATTATATTTTATCTTAAAAAATATCATAGTAGTATCACATAAAACAAATTGTTTTGCTTTAACAAAGTGTATAATTTTTGCGTTTTTATTAGAAAATTTTTTTGCGAATTTTGATATTTTTTACGAATTTTGATTTTTTAAGCAAAAGAACTGGGCTTTTTAACTAAAATATTAATTAAATACATTTAAAAGAATGATTATTTTTAATCAAAATTGTCATTTTCACGCTTTAAGCAATTTGTATACAAAGAATTCAGAAATATTTTGAAAAATATTCGAAAACTATTTTTTATTCAAAAAATATCTGATTATACTAATATATACTAAATTTTAAGTTGTAAAAGAGACTCGTAGTCACTACAAAGACATTATTTGCCATGCTATTTGATGCTTTATCACAGATTACTAGCAATTAAGGTCATCTCGTATTAGGTCGAAAGATATGAGATTAACCTGAACGTGCAAGGAATATTTTTCCTCTTTGTAAAATCGCGAGGTATGACATATACATATACTTCCTTGTTATGAACGGGATGCACGTGAGAAGTCATGCGGTCTTTTAAATTAGAATGAGTTTCCTGAATACAATTCTGTATGAAGGGAATGGAACAGAATAGTATGACAGGATAATAAGAACGACCCTACGTTTAAATTAATTAATTATGTCATTTATCCTTACCAATGATTCTGTCCTTTTAAAGATAGTCAGCGAAAAAACCGTGTATACAATCGTTCAATGGAGATTCTCGACATATGATCTAGAATCGCGAGATGATCGAGATCTTCGGGAATTCGCGCACTCGCGGGGACGAGCTTCTCACTTTGATGAAAACAAAGAAATTACATTTAGTTCCTGTCTTCGGAGAGGAAAATATTTTTTTTCTTCGAGGGCTTCCTTTCTTCGTGCTTCTTTCCACCTTCCGTATCACCGCTTATTCGCCACATGCAACTCCTCAAGTACGCGGCGCGACGGAATCGCGCTCACGACTGCCACATTAACTTCACTCTCCCCATGCGCCGGTCGTGCTACCAGGCTTTTCCTCCACCCACGTACACAGTCGTGTATCAATCGAGGGAGCTACAATGTAGAAGCTCTTATTTGTACTCTCGGTTTAGGGTTCATCTAAGATCAAGTGAAAACTTAGTAATAAAATTTTGTCGAAAAATTCTAAGGAGAAAAATTTTTTATAAGGAAAATTAGGAGAAAGATTTCTATAATGAGGATAATTATTACAAAAGGATATAGGAAATAATACAATATCTAATAATATACATAATACAAAAAGAATGCATCGATGGCTTTAGATTATAAATTAAAGCATCGTCTCTTATCAAGTCTCTTATCAAGAATTTTAGATATCTGAAAATTAATATACAATCAAATTGTTGTATTGTTTCTTCTGATTTTATCTTTTCTTGTCACTTTTTCTCTTGCTCCGTTCTTGCATTACATTTACATCTATTTAATCATGTAACAACGTTAGAACGAGAAAACATATAAAAGACGAAATATAACATGCAATAAATTTTAATATCGATAGATAACATTAGATAAAAGTAGTCAGATTTTTGTAATAAAATTTCTTTGCAGTCCACCCATGGCACACAACTGTTGCATTTATTTCGACGTTGCAGCTGTGGACGGCTTCAGCCGTCGCGATTTGGCAACGTTGAATTTATCAATATACAAATATATCTATAAGTGTATTCATTTTAATTCTTTCTATATTAGCATTTACGTGCATCGGGAAAAGTGTAGTTAAATATGTATTATTTTTAATTTACTTGAAAGCGCAGAGAGCGCTATAGCGTATGTTAGTATGAATTGCGAACCGCAATTCGTTCATAACACTGCATGATTTGTTTTGAACTCTAATGTAATCATATAATAAAAGAAATATAAAGTAGTTGAAGGACAAGAGGGAAAGCAAGAAACAAAGGAAAAATCTGAAAAATATGGTAATTTAAAAGCTATTTAATTTAATTCAAAAATTACGTTGTCCTCACAGGACATAAAAAAAGATTAAAAAGAAATTAATAAGTAATTCGAAGATATGTTAGCTAACAGTTTACAAATCGTATTTAGCAGATAATATTTAACGATTTACAAATAATACTTTAGCTACAAATTTTGATTATCTAAAACTTCAAGTATTATAAATTGCAACGAGATATGAATACGTCGATGTTCAAAAGATAGTCACGCAAAGTGTACAACGTCAACTCTGAAACGACTATCCGCCAAGAAATCAGAATTAATTAACTTGCACCGAGGAATCTCAGACTGGTGGAAGTCGCACATATGTGCCTGCGTCGTGAGAGATGTTAGAAGTAATAAATAAAACTGACAACGAGATAATAGACAAATTGACCCTAAACACATCCGACTCGTTAGCAGAGTATCAGAAGGTCGGGTTTCATCGAGGTAGAGGGAGGCGATCATACTTTCCACACCATCTCGTTCCAGAAGAAAACGAAAACGTTTAGATTTTTCGGATATCGTCTTCAGAAAATTTAATCTCTCACACTTAATTGTTATCAAGTTGCTTTATCGTTTAATAATACTTCGAATATTTTCTGATAACAGAAGTAAATATGGAGGGTTGTCGACCTGGCGTATTTGTTACGCTCATCACGTGATCATTATTTAGCGGCGAGCATAATTTAGCATAACCTTATTCTCTAGGACGAGTGAGATTTAAGAATAGGTACAATTACTATTAAACCGAATAAATGTCTTTTATCCGCAAACCGGTGGCTGCATTTTATTTTCCTCGCAAAACGTTCGCTTCGCGTTCATTCAAACCGATAAAAATCCGTGAAATGATTACAAAATGATTCTAAATTAAAAGAATAATATAATATTAATTATCTATTTATTTTTTATTCAGTATATATTTAATTCACATTTTGTCGATTACAAGATTTAATGCAAGAATAAAGTAAGATTTATAATGTAAAATCATGTAGGCGTGCTTTTACTAGATATTGTAAGTAATTGATTTACTTTTCTTTTACTTGAGTATAAAATATTATATTTAAAATTTAAAAAAACGTTTAAAATTGAAAGAGATATTTTAGAATATTTTAATTTTTTATTTACACATTTTTTAACAAATATTTTAATTTTTTTTATAGATTGTACTTTGCGTAAATAAAATAAATTTATTTAGGGACATTTAGGTAAAAACTTGCTTCAAAAAATATACTTGTTAATATAAAATCAATAGAATCATGATTCGTGTAAAATACGATGATGGATATATTGCTTACAATGATTTCTAGCGTATACTTATAATTACTAGTCGCTGTCGCATGCTTAGAAATGATTTCTCGAGGCTGCTGCTAATCCTAACATTATGTATACTGAACTTCCTTGAAGCCGGTTAGAGATAAACTGTTTGCAATTAACCGCATAACGTTCACGCGTTTCTTTCGTGTGAAACAAGTTTTCGAATTAACTACTCAAGCATGTCTATAGACATTTCTTTACAATTATATTCATTAGCATGATTACGTTCATTCTGATGATAAAGTGTAGACATAAGAGAGATACTTTAGTTTAGAGATAAACACATATTTTATATCCGAATATATAGTGTCATTTTTTAATAATTTTAAAGGAGATTTTATTGAAAAAGATAAAGAAAATATTAAAGCATGATTGTCCGGTATAAGCGATTAATTATTTGAAAATTCGCACAAGTTTTAATATAAATACGAAGTAAAACAAATTAATTGTTTCATTTATTTTTCAATTATTTTATATGGTACTTCATTTTTTTATAAAGTAAATGCCATAAGTAGAATATTATTTGTTGACTTTATACATGATTTTGATACTAAGATAGATCTGATAAATCTCATAAGGTCAAGGTGTGTGTATAACCTATATATTATCGCACACGCATATGCAACGAGCTTCTCATGCATATTAGTATGCGATCAGCCGTACTACTTTGCTCCATTTGTGTGCGTATGAGTGTGCTCTCTTTAGGGTTGTTATTTATACGTACATAATTATTACACATACTTATTTGCATGTCTTTATACTTATTTGAATGCTATGTATACGAGAACTGTGGTAATTTATAAATTAATGACATTTATTTCCGTTATATGTAGGAAGTAGAATGCCATAAAAATATATTTTGATTAAAATTGTTAATAATTATGATATATCTCGAAAAATTCAAAAATAAAAAATTACAAGTTATCAAATATTTCAAATATTTCAAAGAGATATTAACATCTGCAATACATAATTTAAATCATTAAATATTTTTTTAATTTAAATAATTTATTAAAAAATAATAATTTTATATTATAATATATATCATAATTATTAGCTATTCTAATAAAAATAAAAATATATTTTTGTGACATTTTTCTTCCAATAGTTCTTACATATAATGGAAATAAATGTCATTCATTTACAAATTACAATAATTCTCGTATACATAGCATGCAAATAAGTATAAAGACATGCAAATGTAATTTTAGTTACGATATAAAAACTAAATTTGTCGAAAAAGAAAAATTACGCGCTTTATTACGTAATTTAAAACTTGAAAAAAAAAACTGAACCGAAGACTATATTTGTTTCTCTAGAAGAAAATGAGGCCATGAGAAAAATAAGTATCTTATGATAATCATGACCAGCTGTTTCCAGTACGAACAAAATTTAATTGATTAGAAATGAATATTTAGATTATGATTGCATCAGAATTAAAATTTATGCTTGTATGTTTGCAAGTTATAATTGTTCAGGTGTACATATGCGCTATCTCATAATCAAACATTAACGGAGTTAATTCAACAGAATCATATTTTGAACATTACTAACAAATAAGAATGTATTACAGCTAAAAAAATTAAAAGAGGAAAAAATTTGATTAAGAATGCATATTTAATTAAAAAATATAGATATAAATATTTTGAGCATTTATTATTTTGATACGTTTGCGAGAGAAATTGAAGAAAGATATTTTTAATTGCTTTATTTTTATTATCCTTTAAGTAAGGTATTGCTTTAAGTAAGGTTTTTACTTCAATGCTTGTTACTTTGTTACATAAAAGTGTACTCAACATGTATACAATTGCGCTCGGTAAATCTTCTGCGCGTATTAATATGCAAGTCGGTTAAGTAAGAGAGAGAAAGAGAGCGTCATAAGTGGGAACGAAAAGACCTAACGAGCAATAGAAAAGCTCTGCATGATAATGTTTCACGAAAACGCAAACCTGATTAAACCTAATCTAAATCAAATAGCTGTATCTCAAGGCCTGTTTACTTGTGTAGAAAACATACATGTAGAATGTTGTGCAACAAAGTTTTCCTTATTGTGTCTGATAATCTTTTCTGAGATATCTTATCTGATAGATTTCTTCCAAATTTTAGGAATGTTTGAATGTATCGAATTTTAGAGCATAACGAAGTAATATAAAAATATTACTTTTGATTTTTTAAATTGCTTTTTCAGAAGTAAAAAGTCTTGAAAAAAACATGACGTTAAAATCGGAGAAAAGAATATAAGTCATTGTTTCAAATAATTTATTTTTATGTACTAGATATTTCTAGCATGCTGCTTAATGTGTATTTTATCTTTAATTTATTGATAGATGAACTAATTGTTGCTAATCGCGGCAGACTCATTATTGATGCTCAAGTTTATTTAGCGCTATTCACACCCGCATTTAAGAAGCAGAGCATAAAATCTTTACTGGATACGATAACTATCACTAAAATATTTGACCTACATGTTGCGTCATTCGTAAATTACATTTTGTTAGCTTCTCCCTGTTGAATTCTTATTTACTTCTACTGTATCAAGTCGATTGCATAATGATAAGAATTCAAACTATTAGCCAAATAAATTTCTGCCACGGCAATCAATTAATATGCTAAGTGATTTGTAATTAATTTAATTACTTTAAAACAGCAATTTAAAGTTTTTTCGTATTTTTCGATTTACAGA